TCAGTGGACGTAGGACTTGCTATCTTAGCATCCGAACCACTTTAAAAGTTCTTATAGCATTTATTTCTCTTTATATATTCATTTTCACGTGTGCTTTTTGATCAATCAATGTTGCACACGTATTGATTAGTTGGTGCCCAAAATCTCGTATCAACAATTTTAATTCAGCTAAGCTCCATTCAAGGATGACTGAGTTAGATTTTCAAATTTCCCAAATTTTGGGGGTGTATTAGAATAAACCCACCACTCCACCCAGGAGATTTTCTTTTTTCTTTAATCTTTTTACTTTAGAGATGATAAGAAATGCGAACCTAAGCGCCAAACATCATTATAAAGTTTTTAAAGCTTCAATAAAATTTAGTGAATTGCCCCATCATGTACGGTACACCACCTGCAAGCTGGCTTTCATTAACAACTCTATGCATGGTTTAAAGTTCAATTAATTATTGCCATTTTTTTTTCTTAATACAAACATACTTTTAAGCATATCAGAGCTAGTCTTAATTTTAGAATCTCAAGAGATTAATTAAAGTGTATATAAATGTGCTTAAACGTCGTTGGTCATAAAAAAATAAAATAAAAAAATGATGGGAGTCATTTAAGGTTATGAGAGAACATAAGAATACAAAGTATTTGATGTAAGAATTATTAAACAACATGTGTATAACTTTAGGTATTGGGTACGATTGTTTCTGTTTTATTAATTATGTACCGGTGTTTATGGTGTTGTTTACTTTTGTATATCGTGTTTATGAAACTATAATAGATTTTTCGCATCCATGAATATAGGCGAGTCATGCCAAATATATACGTATCGTATCTCTTTGTGACGTGTGATGTTATTTCTATGTTATTGATCTTGAATGCGTATTTTTTATTGTGCGATCTCCTAACATATGCTTGTACTCTCACCCTGCCAAAAAGTACAACACATTTACAAAAAAATGGAAATATTATTTGATAATAAAATCAATCTTCAATATGATAACATTTGAATATTGTATTATTTTTGGAATACATTTTGGCTTTGTAATTTGTTCTATTTGCTGAAACCCATAAATACTTGAAGATTTTATTATAATAAATAAATAATCACTAGTAAAAAGAGGAATCAGAATTGTGACGAGGTTCCACCGTTTTCAATCATTAATTTTTGTGATTTATTTTAAATTAAAATTTAATCATTACAATCTTGGATCTAACATATGGATTAAAGTTAATCCTTTTTACTAATCCCATGCTCATCTTTTTTTAACACTTTCCTTCTTTCACTTCTTTTCTAAACTCTCTTTTGGACTTAAAAGTAACACACTTTTAGGAGCTTTCCATAAAGAAAAAAATATCTTTATAATTTACATAATATTTTGTTTGAATATGATGTTTTACACGCTCCGAAAAAAGTACTATGGATTCGAATATTCGTTAATCTATCGTTACAATTTTTTATTCAATAATACTAAACGTCTATACAAGGATATGTAACAAAAAATAAATTAAAAAGTGAATATAAAAAGTTAAACCTATTATATTTACTCTTCTATTTATTTTCTGTCACATCAATTTGTACATAAATCTTTATAAAAAAAATTTATACGCGTAGGATCTTGTTTATTTTGTGATCTCAAAATATTTTCAAAAATTTGTGTTATGAATCTTATATTTTTAAAATTAAAAAAATGAATTCATTTCGTGATCGTGAGGATTAGACGGGTTCAATTGACAATTATGTTTGGATATCTCAGTTTAAAAAAAAAAAAAAAATCTATTTATATACTACCCAAATACTATTTCCCTAGTTAATTTTTTTTTTCAATTTTGTTCCCACAAAATTCCTTATATATCTTATTTTTTCAAAAGAAAAATTATATATAAATTATATATGTTTTAATAATTTTTTTTAGAAAAAAATTACCATATAGGATAAAATCATATTTAAAAAAGTATGACCAAAATTTTTAGGCAGAACGACTTACACCTACCCAGGGTTTGGAGAAACGACAGATTGATACCCAAAAGGTTTCAAAAAGACAAATAAGTATCTTTTGTTAGGGAAAAGACTAGAATGCCCTTTAAGAAATATTAGTCTATTTTTTAATTACTTTTAGACCCCTTAAGTTTATTAATTCCATTAAATACCCCTAGAAAAAAGTTTAAAAATTAATAAAAACACCCCCACCCACCCATACTTGCCAGATTCCGGCGGCCATCGCCGGTGGTAGCCGAAATCTATCACAACGGTCTATGCTACCACCGAAAATGGCTGGTAGTTCACCGATCTGGCCTTTTTCAATCAGATCCACCACTAATCTGGCCAGAAAAGGCCAGATCGATGAATTACGAGCCATTTATGGTGGTGGCCGCCGGAATCTGGCAAGTATGGGTGAGTGGGGGTGTTTTTGTTAATTTTTAAACTTTTTTCTGAGGGTATTTGATGAAATTAATAAACTTAAGGGGTCTAAAAGTAATTAAAAAAATAGACTAATATTTCTCAAAAGACATTCTAGTCTTTTCCCTAACGAAAGGTATTTGTTTGTTTTTTTGAAACCTTTTGAATACTAATCTACCGTTTCTTCAAACCTTGGGTAGGTGTAAGTCGTTTCCCCAAATTTTTATATGGTAAATGATAAACGGGCTTAGTAAAAGCGAGTCCACCGTATTTACTTCTAAAGATAGACAAATACTATTTCTAACACCGTATTTACTTATACAACTTCTAACGTAAGAACCTTAAAATTTACAATAAAATATTTCTTAATGTACGTATAATATTACTAAATATCTGTATAGAAGCTTTTTTTTTTTTTTAGTTCCATTGGATCCGCGTCAGCCACATGTCCACCTGTCAGAGAATCATCGAATCAGGCTATAAGTAACTAAAATTAAGCAAGAGAAAACGAAATTACAACGTAAAATTAAACCAAATTAATAAGAGCCATTGATCGACGAAGATAAAGACAAAACGGCACTTCACATCACCTCAACTTCTCAACTCTACGATCACCACCGTACATTCAACATCGCTGGCCCAACCATGCCTAGATCTATCAGTGTCGGGCCCACCACTCAATAAAAGTTTTTCATCAAATTAAAATTACTCCCAAACCCCTAAACCTTTAGAATTTTTCAAAGAAACCACTGAATTTTGTACTTTTGAGTTTTGAGGTGCTTTTGTTATTTTTTAAAATAAGAGGGTTTAATAGAGAGTAACTACAGAGGTCTTGTAGTTATTAACACAACTATTGGAGGAATGAAAAAGTGATAGTAAAAACAAATAACTAAGTGTGGAAAGTGGGGTCCAGGAACATACCCGCCTCCCGCCTAGTGTTACTGTGATGTGACCACTTGATTAACCGGTCTTTATTTCAGCCGTCTGATGACAACGATCTCTTCATCTCTCTTTCTTCCCCCCTCCCTCTCTCTCTCTCCCTCAACACTTAAACAACTCTCACTTCTTTGACTCAGCTTGCACCGTAAAAAAACAAGCAAAAACTGCACCAAACTAAAGAAAGCGAGTGAGCAGCAGCAGTCGGAAAAAACACTCTCCTGAAAACCTTTTGTTTGGCTTTTGGAGAAGGAAATAGTTAGTAGGCCGTCGTCTTGTTTCTTTCTTTTTGCTGATTCAGAACAGTCGGCTTTGTGTTCTGATCTCTCTGTTTGAGTAATGGTGCACCGACACGTATTGTTTCTTCTCAGTGACGGCGGAGGTTCTGTTAACGGCGTTTTTCGGCTCTGCATTTTATAAGCTGACTCTGGTACGAGTTTCTTTATATTTTATGAAGTTTTATCTTCAGACTGTTAGAAATTGTGAGAAAATTTTCTGTTTGGTTTGGTGGAAAATTTTGTTTCCTTAGTCTAGCTTTAATTTGGAGAGATTTATTATTTTATTACTTCTGAGTCAGTTTCAAGCAATTAGTAACGGTATGGTTCTGTGAAAAGAAGAGGGCTGACTTTATTGAGCAAAGATTCTTTTTTCTTTTCTTCTTTGTTTCAGTTTTCTTTTTCACTTATTTCAAACAATGAAGTACTCTATCTCTATGTTCCAATGAAGCGGACGGAAAAGTGCTTTAATCAAGCTTTTTTTTTTTTTTTGAAATAACCAAACAAGGTCCAAAACTTTCTAATTTTGAAAGCTGATTGTCTCTTGTTTTCAAGTTTTAATATTTAGGGATTTTTGTCCTTTGGCTTTGATTACGACGGCTCGTTTATTGTGCGGTTCAAGGACCACAATTTTTTTATTTTTTTCGATTTTTGGGTTATTTTTATCTATATGCTTTTCTTACTCTGTCTACTGCACCCAATTTTGAATTATACGCGGTGCAAGCTGGAAGTTGTAGTTGTAACATTGTCATGTTATGTAATTGAAGAAGAAAGTAAAAAATGTGTAAAGCATAAGAAAAATTTGTGACCTCAGGATTTTTGAAAATATTCTGTAGTGGGGACCATATCTAGTTTTGAATCAACATAGTATTGGTTAAAAGGTATGCTGATCATTCGGATTTGTTAATGGAATTGAACTAAAAAAGAATTCGACATCAGTTCAGCTGTGCAATCTGGCACCAGAAAATAGTGGTCTAGCTGGTGAGAAGATAACAAGTTCTAGGAGATTGGAGGAAAGTGTTGATCTTTTTCTCCAAGTTGATCACCTCGGAGTAAATTTGGTTGAAGTTGTGAATGAAACCGTGTCTATTTGTAGGCTGATAAATGCTTGTTGTTTAAGGCATCATTGTATATCTAGTCCCTGTATGGGAGCGTAACTACTAAGTTTCTTCATAGCATTGCTTCAGTATGCTTATAAAGCCATAAAGTTAAAGCTGATTTTGATGTTATTTTTGAATATGCTTATCTGCAGAGTCTACTCCATCTATATGAACATTCAGCATCTGCAGCTGTGAAAGGAGGACACTAGGACCTGCCTCAGTGCAAGCTTTTTGTGGAAACTTGAAACAGATAAATTGCTATAGTATCTGAATCAGTTAGCGCCAACTGAGACGCCACTGGAGTTGCAACCTATCCAGTCCATGGATTACCGTTCAGAGCTCAAAAAGAATTCTAGAGATCAACCATCAACTGGAACTTCTGATAAGACTAAATTGCCCCAAGCAAACCAAAAGACAGAACTCCCAGACAGGTTCAAACTGGAAAGGCATAATTTGTCATATGCTGATCTTCATCATGAAGTTACAAAAAATATGAAAGATTTCTCTCCTAAATCTTCAGGAAACCGCCAAAAGCAACGGATAGATACAAATGGAAACGAAGAAGACGAGCTTGTTAAGTACATGTCAAGTGTACCAAGTTATCTGGAGCAGGGAAAAAATCCCCAGGAAAAAGTTTTAAATTTTGGCGTCCTCGACTGGGATCGTCTAGAAAAATGGCAGTGTAGCCATAAACAGATGCCGCACAAAGGTGGCAGATCTTCAATATCCAGTAGTAATTTTTCCTCAACCTCCTCAACAGATGCATCTTCTTCCCGTTCTAGCAGTGGTTACAGCTCCTCTCCTCCTGGTCAAAAGACACGACGTTCATCATTGCAGTTTCATCTGATGTCGGCACCCATGGAAGGCCATTCACAAGCAGTCAAATCTTTTGGAGAAAGTGTTCAAAGGTTTCCTGATATCAAAGATGCCCAGAGTAATACTTTAAATGAGCAGGGAAAGTTTATCAGAACAGAGAAGCCTTTTGGCAAAAACAAAGTTGATATCCTAGAGGAGTGCAAGAAAAAAGATTCAGATCTAAAGATTGATCGACAAAGTGGAACTTTGGCAAATGGGGTGAAATATGAGGTGTCATCATCCAATAAACTGAAAATGAAGACACAAGATTGTCAGTTTATGAAGAAAGCAGAGAAGCTGCAAGAAAGAAATACCGATGTTGTTGAACAAGATGTTCTTGGAAAACACAAACCCGTTGTTCTCCTCTTGCCAAGAGATCATCCCAAAAATGATCTTTCTGGAGTATCCAATCTTTCTAATACGACAAAAATGATAGGTCAAAGACCAGCAGAAGATAGACGGAGGAGCTTTTCTGAAAGACCTAAAGATGCTGAACTTGTTTTTGATTTCCCACATTCAAGTCCACTACCTCGTAAAGTTGGTATCAGTGAACACTCACAGATGAAACGGCCCAGCTCCACAGATGCAAAGATTGACAACTTCTCATCTGAAAGATCTCATCAGGCACAATCTTCAGCAGAAACAGGTATCTGTCGGTCCAGAGACAGAAATCTGGAAGACAGGAAATCAACTGTAACAATCAACAAGAGCACCTCGAGTGTTCCTTCTGTAGGATTGGATCCGAAACGGAATAAGGTAGCACCTGAAAAAGTGAGAAGCACTTCACCTTTTCGCCGCTTGAGCTTCAGTTTGAGTAAGATAAGCAAAAATTCCAGCTCCAAGGAGGCTTCTGCTTTACAACAGTCGAACTCTACATATGTTTCTGCCCATTCTGGTTCTGAGAATGCCGTGGTTTTTTCTTGTCTTGAAACTTCTTGCAGTGATAAAATTAATTCCACAAACAAAGCCAGGTCAAGCCCATTGAGAAGGTTACTGGATCCAATACTGAAGCCAAAAGCGGCAAACTGCCACAATATTGGGGATCCATTACCAAAAGACTCGATGTCAAAAGAAAGGGCCTCTAAAAATTCTGATGAGCGACCATATTCTTCCTCTGTAGTTGCACAGTCAGGAAGAGTTAAAACAGATGTGGCCAGATGCAGAACAATCGATGTTAATGATTCATTACGGGAGAAGCACCATGGATCACAAGCTGTTCAAGCTCTTTTGCGTGTTGTAGTCAAGAATGGCCAGCCTCTGTTTACATTTGCTGTTGATAATGAACGTGATATTCTTGCAGCTACAATGAAGAAGTTGAGTACTTCAAGAAAGGAGGACTACAGTTGCTGCTACACATTCTTCACCATCCAAGAAGTGAGAAAGAAAAATGGGAGGTGGCTAAATCAGGGAAGCAAAGGCCAAAATCACGACTTCATCCCTAATGTTGTTGCCCAGATGAAAGTTTGTGGATCTCAATTTTCTAGGTTGACTAGAGAGAACAATCTGAATCTGTTTAGTGTGAGAGATTTTGTTCTATCCTCTGTGGAACTTAGACAGACCGAGCAAACGTCAGACTTCGAGCCAAATGATGAGCTTGCTGCCATTGTTGTCAAGATCCCATTGAAAATCAGTAGTAGTTCACTCATAAGTGGGTATCAGGGCAGTATGCAAAAAGATCTTACGGAAGTGAGATTAAAAGAGTATTTGGCAGAAGTGAAATTTGATTCTGATTCTGGGAAAAAAGTTCAGAATTGGCCTTTTGTAGGTGGCCAAGACATTAGTGCCACAGTCATATTTCCAAGTGGTGTTCATACATTACCACAAAAAGGAGGGCCTTCATCACTGATCCAACGCTGGAAAACAGGTGGATCATGTGACTGTGGAGGTTGGGATTTGGGTTGCAAACTTAGGGTTTTTGCCAACAGGAATCAACTCGCTAAGAAAGAAGGTTCATCCGATGCTTGTTCCTCAGCACAACAATTTGAGCTATTCTCTGAGGTCTTTCATTTTTAAAATCTCAAACTAAATTAATTTTACACCCATTATAGGGGTCAATTTTGATTGACATGTCTTTTTTCTTTCAATGCTTATCATCAGGGAGGACAAGAAAAGCATCCTTTCTTCAGCTTGGCCCCATGTAAGGAAGGTATATATTCAGTCGAGTTCAATTCATCCCTAACACTTCTGCAAGCATTCTCCATCTGTATAGCAGTATTAGATTGTAGAAAACCGTGTGAGTTTTCTGAATCAAGGAACATTTTTGAACAAAAAGCATATGGAGAAACTGTGTTAGTACAAAATGATGGAACAAGGGTTTCCGATCAGAACAAAGGAGAGGTTCCTGCAAGATATCTCTCATATCCACCCCATTCTCCAGTGGGGAGGGTCTAGTTTCAACTCTCACATGAAACGTGATCTTGTAATTACAGACAGGAGGTACAGATACATCTTTTCCAAAATCAGTCGCTGCCTGAGCGGATGATGAAACTTCTATAGAATAAAATCCTTGATGAACTATAGTGAAAATATGCACCAGATCCTCAAGTCCTCTATAGTAGCGGGAAAAGATAAAACTACAAAGCTTGGGATTATCATATATTGTACTAGTTTTGACAGCAGAAGCAATTTAAACTTTGTTCTTCATCAATGCAAGTGTGGATAGTATTAACTAAAGATATCATGATTTCAGTAATTCTTGTTTAATGTTTCAGAGCATTATTACTCTTCTGGGTGCATATTTCAATTGTCAAGCTGACTTGTATGCTTGATAAAAGCCCAAAATTAATGAGTATACTAGTGGGATGTTACTAGTCTACTGGTTTCTGACCAAAAATAAATAAAAAATAAGTCTACTGGTAATGTTGTTGGGAGTATTAAAATCATCCAATAAAATGTACTAGTCATGTTGTTAATGTGTTAAAAATCGTCCAATAAAGCAATTATTAGCCATTGGTACTGTATTCGAGCCGCAGAAGAGATATTTATCATATCTGTTCAGACTTATAGTTACTTTAGTTTATTAGGCTTTTAAGGTGTTCCGTGACTTTGAAAATTAGGCGGGTTTGAGGCCATAAATTTCCATTAGGAAGCTCGTTAATAGGCGTAGAAAACCGCGAACGAAAGGATTAAAGCACGATGATCATCATTTCATCAATCCAACGGTAAGTATCCTATCATCGCAAGATACTTTTCTTATTCTCGCTCTATGCAATCACTTCCCCGACATAATTACAAAACCCTAATCCTAAACCCTGAAATAATTATTCAACTAATATTATATTATTTACACACAAAACCTTTTGTTAAATCATTCGAGATTTTTAAACTCTCATCTCAACTGCCTCCTTAACAAACACAAAAACGACGGCGTTTGCTTTTGAATTACAAATCAAACCGAAAGCGTATTTCATTTGCTCTCATCTTTGATCACGTCGTTGAATTAATATTATACTGGAGGATTCGATTTCGATTTCCGAGTCGAATTCGAATTCGTATTTTTAGCGGTTTATGTGGAGACAAAATAATATAAACTCGATGAAGCATTGTTTTTTTGAATTTTATGTTTTTGTTTTGATTGATGTCGAAGTCATACCTTAAACTCGGATTCTGCAATGCTGGTTTACTTTGATCGTGAGGCTCCTAAGGTTTCTCTCTCTCTCTCTCTTTTTATTTTTTCAAAAGGCTTCTTTTTGTTCATTTCATTGATGTTATGTGAAGCTATGGAGGAAGATGTGTGCAGAAGCGACTGTAGAGGTTTCGCTTCTTGCAGAAAATTGGAAGATTATTCTAGCTGGACTTATCTTTCAGGTTTTTATTTTCTTTATTAGTTTCTCTAAGTTTTGATTAACTGTGAAGTGCTGTTCTTTTAGCTTTCTGAGACTGAGGTATGCTTGCTTAATTTATTAGTTACTTTCCTATGACTTGATATTTAATATTTTTTATTTATTTTGTTCATTTTTTCAATATAGAACTATGTTAGTGACCAAACACTTAATTTCGTGTAATATAGTGAGCTTGAAGTGAACTTCTATTTTTTTAAATTTATTTTTTAAGAAACAAAACCACTGGAATATGACAGTTAAGAATAATCATGCAAGTTGAGATCGTGTTTCTGTGTTTCCTTTCGCGACAGCTTTTAGTTTTCTCGATTAAAACTTGATTCTTAACTGTTTTCTGGAGATATTTTTCTTGAAAGTTGTCTCAAAATATACCTGATTTTCTACATATTTTAAGTAATTCTCATGCGATTTCTTTTCTTTTTATGTTAATTTAAATTATATAAATGGTTTATAAGTAGTTATAACTTTAATCTGAGCTTGTATCAGCTCAAAAATTAATATGAAGCTTCTATTCCGACTCTTGATATACGTTGTTGGAAATGAATTAGAAAACATTAATAAACATGTTTTAGAAAGTAATTCTTATTGCATAAGCTTGTTTCATTTTCAGTACATTCATGGATTGGCTGCTCATGGAGTTCATTACATACATCGGCCAGGACCACTGCTGCAGGATTCTGGATACCTTCTTCTTCCTGTGGGTACCACCTCTGGTTTCATTGTGATTTTTGTGGTGTTGAAATTAAATTAAATTATTATTTCCATTATTTTTATGTGATTTTAGGAACTTGGTCAAGATAAATCTTATATCAGTGAGACTGTATTCAGCTTCATGTTTGGTTCCTTTGTTTTGGTAAGTTTTATGTTCCCCTTTTCTCAATTACTTTAGATTGCATAATAATTATTTTTAACTTTGTTATTCTTACATTTATGAAGTTAAAAAATCTGATCATTGCAGGATGCTTATATAAAACTTAGTTGTTAATTCGTTCAATATGTTTTGATGCTGTTGCAGTGGACTCTTCATCCATTCCTTTTCCAGAGAAAAAGGATATATACAGTTCTGATATGGTGCAGGGTCTTTATTTATCTAGTTGTAAGTACTGATTACAGTTTTCGTTTTATTTGCTTACTGATGATAACATTTATTCTTTCATATTTGAGATGTTCCCAATTGATTCAAACACAAACTTGAGGTGGGACCAGATTAATGGGTCCACATTCTTGCTTCAAGAGACTTGATTGATATAGATATTTATTTGTTTTTGCAAAATACCCGGCTAAGATTAGTAGTCATGAAATTCTGCTTCGATATTTGACCTGAAGAAGGTTGTCACCTTCTTGACATTAGTATTATTTCATTCACAAATGGAGCCAAGAGACCTTTTCTACTTTTTCTTGAAATCGTTATCTTTCTTGCTGTGCATCTTACTTGTACGTACAGTATTAACCAATGACTGATACATATATTGCCGAGATCAGGATAATGCTGAAAAACTTTCTTGTTGTCCTGCTACATTTTTCTGACAATTTCTTTAGGCATATTTTGTATTTTTTAGGTTTCCCAGATACTTCGGATAGTTACATTCTATTCAACTCAGCTTCCTGGTCCAAATTATCATTGCCGTGAGGTAATGTCTAAAAAGGCTTTGCATAAGTTTCCCCCATGTGTCCTCTGTTGAACTGTTTCTATGTTTTTATGCTTCAACTTCTTGACAAAGCAGCAATTTACAATCATGTAAAATTGTCTCTTTCAGGGGTCAAAATTTGCTAGACTTCCTCATCCAGAGAATGCACTTGATGTGCTCTTTATTAATTGTTAGTCCTACGATGTTAAACTTTTCCCTGTTTTTTGTCGCTTTTGTTTAATCAACTCTATGATGCTCATCTGATTCATATTAACATGCAGTTCCCAGTGGATTAATGTATGGCTGTGGTGATTTGATTTTTTCTTCCCACATGATTTTCACCTTGATATTTGTGCGTACATATCACAAATATGGCACAAAAAGGTAATACATCTTAGCCACTACATGCTATGAACTTTGATGTCTCAGGTCATAGTGATTATTGTACAATTTTCAGGTTTTAATGCACCTATTAGAAAAGCATTATTGTTTATATCAGATTCATAGGTTATGTCATTCCAAACTTTTAGCTTTATCACACTATTGTGGCATATTATTGCAGGTACATCAAGCAGTTTGCTTGGTTGCTTGCTGTGATTCAGAGCTTCCTGATTATAGCATCTCGCAAGCACTACACGGTTGACATCGTTGTTGGATGGTATAAGCAGGATCCCTATCTGCTAATCAATTAAAACTCCAAAATAAATATTCCTCTCACTAATGGTTCTCGAGTTGTTTACTTGTTACAGGTATACTGTAAATTTGGTAGCATTTTTTGTTGACAAAAAGCTGCCAGGTTAGTATTCACAATAACGTCTTTTCTTTATTTCGTTTGTTGAGGTATGCTTAATGATTTGAAGAGAATCATCTCTTTTCAAAAGGCAGGTAGATTTTTCAATATTCACTTGTGAGCATATGATGTTAATGCCTCTGAATTTTCAGTATACTTGTTTGGAACTAGTTAGAACTTTCAGACAATGTTTGTAAAAGCTGCCTTGTATTCCATTGCAGAATTGCCTGACCGATCCTCAGCGCTGTCACTACTACCTTTGAGCACCCGAGAAAAGGATGGGAAGAACAAAGATGAACACCATAGATTACTTAACGGGATTTCTGGTGCCAATGCAAATTGAGCATGAGTTAGCGTCAAATCCCAATCGCCTTGTCATCATTATCTGCGAGATGCTTTCCTTGAGACATCTGGAGAACGTTAAATACTGTCTATACCTACGTAGAATACAAGTGAATTAGGAACACAGCTTAAAATTAGGAACATAGTCAGGGATAAGTAGTACTTAGACGCAGCACAAGCTGAAGATAGCTGTGCTGTTGCTGCGGGGTTGGACTTGTGGCAAAATCTCAAGTGCATTCTCAACTTAATAAGTCGGGTAAACCTCATTTGTATTTTCCTCTCTTTATTAGAGATAGAATGAAATGTCTTATAGTTTCGCTTTTTTTTTTTTTTTAATTCTTGTTTTATTTACTTATATGCTTAACCTTGGAGTCATGGAAAATGGAAAATATTTGATAGAAGGTTGTCCAACGGTAAGAACGAACCTAAGGGGCTGTGCATGACTTCAACATATGGTCTTAAGTTCTCTAAAGTCCTAGGTTCAATTTCCTGTTGGACACAAAGATAGTAATTTTATTCATGATTTATCTAGAGGGCCGCAACGATGCGTTGTTGTGGGATAGTTTCTTCTAAGAATTAGTTGATATGTGCATAAGTTATCCAGTATACCAGAGTTAACAATATATATATATATATATATATGTCAAATAGGAAAATTTTGCATTTTTTTTTTTTTTTTTGAAGAATACAGTGAGAAGAAGAGGAGGAGACATGTGATGGGTTATTTAGGGAAATGAGAGTGGCATGAGCCAATGATGCAGATTTAATAATGTTTTATTGTCAAATGACCCACCACTCTTTTAACTTTACTTTACACTGAATTCACTATGCCATATATTATCTTTTCATAGGAAGTTGAAGATATGAAATTGGAGACATCATTTGTTCATCACATGCCTTTCTTGGTTTTTCTCCCCATCAAAGGGACTGTTCCCCTTTCCTTTTTGCTCTTATCTTTCTTTATTAATAACATCACATCTCCTCTTCTCTGCCTGTCCTACCCATCTCATTTTTCATGGAAAAGTAGAGGTGTATTTTCTCGAGAAAAAAAAAAACCAGAAGAGATCATTACATCTGCATGCACTTCCTTTCTCGGCTCTGACACCCATCTTCAAAAGCCTGCTTTAATCTGCACCATCTTCTTCTTCTTCTTCTTCTTGTTCTTTCTCTACCCAACAACAGCCATGGTTTAACTTTGTAAATACTTCTTACTTTTCAGAACCTCACCTCAAAACGCCCAGATGTGTTTTGACATTTTGGATATTCTTTAAATACATTTACATAAAATACTTCTCAAAAATCCCCTAAGTTTATGATCTAAACCTCTTTAATGAAAACCATGGATTACCCATATTCACATGACTTACCTTTGGTTGAGCAAATTATTGAAGTGGACCAGCATGGTATTGAGGCTTTTATGTTTTAAATTAGGGAAGGAATTGGGGACATACATTAATGGAGCTAATATTAAGCTCCCTCGTGCTTCCCAAACCCAAGAAACTCCATGTTGGAAAGTTGCCAAACACATTCTTTTTCCAGTATCTTCTCTCTGTCTGTGCTGAAATTGTAGCGAAAGAAAAAAAGTACCTTCAATTAAATTATATTATGCACATTCACAGCTCTCCTCTTTTCTTTGCTTTGCCCATGTGAGACCTTGTTGCATTTCATGCACTAAACAAGCCCATCTTTGAGTCATTCTTGTGTCAATTTTGCTGTAAAAGTTGGCCAAGAGGAATCTCCCCTTCTTGTTTATTGCTTTCTTTCTTCATCATTTGAGGCATGTCTTTGCTAAAGCCTTCCCCCCACTATTCTTTAATCTCGTCATTTTTTTATATGTGACAACTTTTACTGGCATTCTCATTTTTGGGGCACCACAAAATCTTCTTCTATTATCATATGCTATATACCTTGCTCGTTTGTCTCAATCACATTGTTGTTTGCTCCTTCCTTCCAACACCCTTCATATTGTGCCAACATTGTGAGCTCAAAGTTGCTGGCATTTGCATATTTGAGGTCCAAAACCTTTTTAATTTTAGTGTTTATGGCCGACAACAAGACTTTATAGCCATTTGGTGGATTACCCAAAAATCATCCAAAAATCTTGTGTACCTATCACATTTGTGTTTAACTTGATCCATTAGACTTGTAAGATATTTAGTTTATTAGATTAATTGAAATCCGTATAAACTGTTTCAAGCACCCGATTATAAAAAAGAAAAATACCTAAACACCATCCAGGAAAACAATAATAAAGAATAATTATATAATATTATAAAATATCATCCAAAAGTAAAAGCAATAAAATTTTGACAACCCACAATGCTCACTAATTGTGGCTTAAAAGTGTCACACCTTTTCCCCTACCACTAAATCAATTTAATTTTATTTTTTCATACAAATTATATTTGTTCTACATTATCATTTCAACAGAATGTTATAGTGTATATATAATGGGACTATCAAATTCTATATATATATTGTTTTAAAATATGAAAAGCAAAATTTGGGAGAAGGATGAGTTGGCGAAAAACAGAGAGAGAAACCTTGGATCCAAAAAGTTTCTTTTTTTAAATTTTCTCTCACTTTCTCGCTTCCCAAACACACTGCCGCTTTTACACTCTTATATTTTGGTCACCCATTTTCCCACTCTTTGCTAACATCTCTCCTTCTCCCTTTCTCTCTTTCTCTCTCAACTCTTGCTTCCTTTCCTACAAAGTGAAACAAAGTTTTAGTTATAAAAAAACCAAACAAAAAGAGCTCTTCTTACTTACTAGCCAATGGGAGCTCGGTGCTCCAAGTTGTCTCTCTGTTGGTGGCCGTCAAATCTCAAGTCAAACCTCCATGACTCCTCGGATCTCGGTAAGTTGATAAAGCTTCAACTTTCTTCTCATTTTCTCTGGAAAATCTTATATTTTCCCGAGAAAGTTCATGTTAAGACTTTCCAACTTTAAGAGCTTAAAAAGTTCTGCTGCGTGTGGTTATATGTTTTTGGCTTGGTAGAGAATGGGAGCGCGGACGCGTTGCCGGCTTACCGAGAGTTTAGTTTGGACCAACTGAGAGCTGCCACGTCAGGATTCTGTATGGACAACATAGTCTCGGAGCACGGCGAGAAAGCACCTAATGTGGTTTATAAAGGGAGGCTTGCTGATGAAGATCGCTGGATCGCCATCAAACGTTTCAATAGATCGGCTTGGCCTGATTCAAGACAATTCCTTGTTTGTGCTCACCTCTTTCTACTCTTTCACCCAGCAACCGAACTACATTTTTGGTTTTAAGTTTCATAAGTAAACAAAGGAGTAACCAAACAGTGCCACCTAGAAAATATCTTGCTAATTCTAAGAAATGATTAATTTTATTTTATTTTATTTTTTATTTTTTTAAACTTTGTCCTATAGGAGGAGTCAAGAGCAGTGGGGCAGTTGAGGAGCGAGAGGTTGGCGAATCTGATAGGGAGTTGCTGTGAAGGAGAGGAGAGATTACTGGTGGCTGAGTTTATGCCCAATGACACTCTATCTAAGCATCTATTTCATTGTAAATAATCTTTACTAATTGCTCTCTATGTTTTCATGTAGCATTCTTGTTCTGTTTACTTGTTTGTTTGCTAGTTTGAGTTTGATTGCAGCTTTTTGTTATATTATTTTTGGTATATTTACCCAAAAATACTTAGTACTGATAGATGGGCCTTAAGTACATAAACTAAATTACCTCCTTTATTTGGTACTGATTCCATTTGTGGCATGGAAAATTTTCACATAAGAAAATTACTTTCTGGTGTAATGTGCCTTTTTTAAAATTTTAAATCTTTTTCCTCTAATGGTTGAAATATTCAGGGGAGAACCAACCCATGAAGTGGTCGATGAGGCTGAGAGTGGCTCTGTATCTGGCACAAGCTCTGGAATATTGCAGCAGTAAAGGGAGGGCATTATATCATGACCTTAATGCTTACAGAATTTTGTTCGATCAGGTACTTTGGCTTGGAGCATTTGTCAAAAACTTGTCCCTTTTTTTTGTAGGCTACTAATAGTATCAGCACTTGACAGGATGGCAACCCCAGACTCTCCACCTTTGGCCTTATGAAGAACAGTAGAGATGGCAAGAGCTACAGTACGAACTTGGCTTTCACCCCTCCAGAATACTTGAGAACAGGTAATTGCTGCTGCGAAACAGGGAACTGCTTTCAATAGTGTGTATTGCACACTCTCATATGTGAGCTACTGGTTCTTTACGTTGGCTGATGTTGATATTTCCCAATGGCAGGGAGGGTAACACCAGAGAGTGTTGTTTACAGCTTTGGCACCCTGTTGCTTGATCTTCTTAGTGGCAAACACATTCCCCCAAGTCATGTAAATGCTTCTTCTTTATATTTTGCTTTAGTTAAGGTGGAGATTTCCACTATAAAATGTTCTTTGCAATTCTGTCTAAATTATTCAGCTAGAAGTAATTTTATGCTTTTGATTTTTAGTTCAATACTTAAATTCTTTTGGCAGGCTCTTGACCTCATACGTGGAAAAAATTTTCTGATGCTGATGGACTCATGTTTGGAGGGTCATTTCTCAAACGATGATGGAACTGAACTAGTGCGGTTAGCTTCAAGGTGTTTGCAGTACGAAGCTCGTGAAAGGCCAAATGCAAAGTCTCTTGTGGCATCTCTCAGTCCTCTTCAGAAAGAAACTGAGGTACACCAACTTCTTTGAAAGATTTAATACCTATCCATAGCCCTGTAAGGGGTCTCATTTAATTTCTTTCAAAGTCTTGTAAAGTTAATAGAGTATTTACTTTTCATCATGCTTGCACTAATTTTAAGCTGTTGAAAGAAATTGTAAACTATAATTAGTAAATGCTAATTTAGTAAATGTTACCATTTGGACAATAAGAAGTCTCTAATAAACCTCAAGGGCTGAATTTCGTGCATTACTAAGTTAGTATAGAAGTTTGATTGCTGATATATACTTTTCAGGGCTGGTGCATCTAAGTTGATTAACTTGAAGATATTAATAATCTCATTTGCTGGTGTGTAAATAGGTTCCATCACACACTTTGATGGGTATTCCACATGGAACTGCATCCGCCAAGCAACAAACAGTGATTTTAACACCTCTTGGTGATGCTTGTTCAAGACTTGACCTTACTGCAATACATGAATTATTGGAGAAGGTTGGATACAAGGATGACGAGGGAATTGCAAATGAGGTTAGTAATTTCCAATTCTAGGGTTCTTTTATTGCAAACTGATGCCAAAACAAAAGACAACTGAAAAAAAAAAAAAAAAAAAAACCTATTGATTGCTTAAGTACTCAAAGCTGTTTGTGACTCGATGATCAATTTTGAGTTTCTATATCTATTCTATACAAAACCCCATATACACTATGCTTGTGACGGGCCCTTATTATGATTATTCTAGGAGATCTCAGGGGTGATCATTCGAAAATACATTTCTTTCCTTTGGTGCTAACCAATTCATCATAAAATACAGAAGTTGTGCAGCAAAAGTATTTTGATTATTTGAGGTCCCACAGAACTTTTGACTCAATTCCTCATGCATATCTGTTTCCTCACAAACGTCTCTTTTGAAATTATTTGCCTTGCAGCTTTCTTTCCAGATGTGGACAGATCAAATACAAGAGACATTGAATTCTAAGAAACGTGGAGATGCTGCTTTTCGAGCTAAAGACTTTCCCACTGCTATTGAATGTTATACACATGTAAGTCATCCATTCAACAAAAGCTTGATCTGAATGCAATCTAAATCACTTATTGATCTGGCAAAAGATCAGCTCATTATTGGATTGCCATGCTACCATTATAATGATTAAAGCATTGGGGATGTTTGCTTCTTCAGTAAGAATGTCTTTTTGAAACACATCCTCAATAAAAACCAAATTCATAACTAAATGGCCACTTTCTGTCCACACCCAGCCATATCGAGACCAGCATTTGTTCCGGTTTCTACTGACTGGTGAATACGATTTGTTTCTGTGTAGTTCATTGATGGCGGGACGATGGTATCGCCAACAGTGTTTGCCAGACGCTGCTTATGCTACTTGCTCAGTGACATGCCTCAAGAAGCTCTTGGAGATGCAATGCAAGCTCAAGTTGTATCTCCAGAGTGGCCCACATCCTTCTATCTTCAAGCTGCTGCCCTCTTTAGCCTCGGGATGAATAATGATGCACAGGAAACTCTAAAAGATGGAACAAACTTGGAAGCCAAAAAACATAGAAACTGAACAAGTAAATAGGTTTTTTGCTTTGGTTATTTCATCTGAATATTCCTTGTATCTAATCTACCTCTTTCTATTTCCTTTTTGGCATTCGAGTTTCTGCGGCACCACAGGATTAGTTGTAATATTTTATATATTGATGTTGGTGGATGTTTCCATTTTATTTATTTCTCACAATCTAGAACCAGAAGTCCCTTATTCTCTTCACTTCTCCTCAAGTCATCTGCTGTATTTTGTTGTTAGTGATGATGGCCAATGGATTTTTGAGCTTGGCAACAGGGAAATACGTCTCCACTACCATAGCTGGACCTTAATATTATTGTTGAATGTAGAATACTAGAACATTAATGGAGATGATTTATTGTCATAACCCCCATTTTTTATTATTGACTATCTAAACCAACATGACCTGAGTATGAATATGGGAATACCGTTTGATTATTGACTGCTGAATGCACAAACTGAGCAATGCTCCACTGTTAACATTCACACTATTTAAGAATTAGTTGAAAGTTGAAACCTCGAATTAATTATTAGTCCTAAGAAAAAATTACTCATTCCAAATACCAAAATCTTTATCAGATTGCAAAAGTTAACCAATATAAATTCTCGCAAACAACAATACAATGACCTCAATAGTTTTAGTCTCCATTCTTAACAGCAGGCCTAGTATGCTTTGAATTAAAAAACGAACTTGCAGGAATATGCCAAAGTTTTACATTGGAGGCCGACCACCAGCACTGAGCAGCTGCCCAATCATACTATTAACCTGGAAAAAGAGCAAAAGGGATTTTAATTATATAACGATGAACCAACTGCCTGCAACCTCTCAACTGATAAATTCATAATTGCAGTTAAAACGATTTCACGTACAACATTTCTGATTCTAAGACTTAGACATGATAAACAGGAATTAGTCTACACTAGATCTGAGCGCACAACCAGATAATTTAGATTTTAATTTCAGATCCATTACAAAATTGTATATTTTCTTTGTAAGAAGGAGCCCCTAAATACTTTTAGCATCACTTCATCCAATTTATATATTTCTGTGCGTATTTAAAGGTTACCTGCCAATACTTCGAAACACACCGATCAATGCAACTATTTTCACCCATATTTAGCTCAGACTCCTTGTACCTAATAACAGAAAGAATTAATTAACACTCAAATCATTCCCCTAAACAAAAAGATAACATTAGCAATGTTAAGGGAATTCATCAACTTAAAGATAAAAGGAGAAACAGATCAACTGGACAAAAATGCCAAAAAAAAACTTACCTTTTGTCAACACACTTATTGAAACATGTCTGAGCAAGCCTGAAGCAAAACAATAAAACAGACTTAGGCAAACTTGCAATACATACTAACTAGAACCATTTATCACCAAATGAATTGTCAATTTTAACTTCTTAATAGAAGTGCACAGCATAGCCATAGAATGGTAAGCTACAATCTTCCTAAATGAAATTCAACTAGTGATCAATATGATAGCTCAGGTGAATCTGTCCAATACATATTTAACAAAGATACAACTTTACTATCGTTGGGTTTGCTTAGATTGCAACATCTAAATCCTCACCTCTCCTTAGTCTCTAGACTCCATCAAAAAGTAAGTATACCAATAGCTTTTCCATATACTTCTATGATTCTTATCTTGGTATATTTCATTAGCATTTTACAAATTTTCTTTCTTCTAATAATTAGTAAAAGCATCTTAGATGGTCGTTAGATATTTAAATAAGCCCTCTAAAAAAGCTCAAGATAGAAGGAAAGCGACAAAGCTCTCATTTGATATCTTGAACAGTGACCTACAAACAGATGCTGAAGCAGAGTTTGGCACAATGAAATCAACCCAAAGTAAGAATAGTATCTCCAACTCCCCACAGTTAAAATTCCATCCTACCGAACACGATAGCAGTGATTTAGAATTTTTCTGAAGGATAAAATTAGCATATAGAGAATCAAGCATGCATCATCTCATCAACATAATGCGAAGCATTTACCTACCTGTTAAACAATTCTACTCTATACTCCATTTCAGTTTCTGCCATACCAAAGGCCTGCATAATTACCAAAAAATAAAAAAATAAAAAACAATCAATAAACAATCCATACACAAATTTTAAATCGAAATTCATAAACTTTCAAAGAGGCTAAGCTAACTTAACCCATTTCCAAAAATAACTTAAGTTCCTTTTCATTCTTTCAAAATTACCAAACAAAGAAGACAAAAGAACCCACCTGTTCTTTATCTATACCCAGCGGATTGTTGGCAGCCATTACACTCTGAACAAAAAAAGATAAACCCAATTAAAAAAAAAAAAAAAAATCAATTAAGGATTATAAGAATTAAGATATCTTACCTACGAGAGATCAATTACTAAATTTCTGTTAGGATTTAAGGATCCTTCTTACCAGCCGAAGTGGAACATCACAAAACCCTAACTTTCAAAATTTATATACTGATATGTGAGAGACGGTATGGCATAGGGTTTTAGGAGAGAGTCCACTACTAGATGCCACCTAGCAATAACTACTTTAAGTTGGGGATTAAACTGTAATTTGTCTCTTCAAAAACCTGACGTGTCACATGTTCATTCCTACAAGTAGAAACATGTTAAAATTTCTCTTGTTTTGTATTTGTTAGGAAATTTAAGGGTTCTGGGGTTTTGTAGGGGTTCTGCTTCTGCAGTCACAAGACCAAACTCAGGTAAACTAATCAATCATCATTCTCCTTCTTTTCTTACCCAAAAAGCACTTTCCATAAAAGCCCTGGAATTCTCACATTTGGTGTTAAGATTTGTTTGTCTTGTGTTTCAATTGGTAAAGTACTTGGTGTTTAGTTTTGACGTTGATTGCCGGGAACAAACTGCTTTTTTTTTTTTGGGTTATATTAAGGTGTAGGGGTTGTTTGAATTTGGTTGCAGAATATCAAGTTGTTAGTGGCAATGGAGCACGGCGCGTTTGGGGATCAAAGTAATGCCACGTTTTCTTTGACTGAAGAGGATCATACTCTTGCTAATGCTGTTAGATTCACCTTAAATCAAGAGTTAGTATTCAATTATTTCTTTAAGATATGTTTCTGTTGATGTTTGTCTTTACTTATGTAACTCTGCAAGTTTTCAGTTCTTGTCTGAATTTAGCTGAAAGTTAAGTTTTCTATTCCGGATCAATTTGTGCTGCAATTAAAATGTTTAATTAATTTGTTTGCTTTTTGGGATAGATGAATTGTGACAAACCAAAACTTTGATTCATATTTGCTGTCATGGAATTACCTTTTTCTCTTGATAATTTTGGGAATGAAAATCGTAGAAAGTTACAGCAGAATGCTGGGTTTTGGGTCAAGAAAACAGACCCTTATTCATTTGCTTTACATTATTGTTCTCTTTGGTTCAGTAAAATTAAACTTGTCAAGGATCCTGAGTATCTCTGAATGAAATTTGTTTCATTGGCTGACATGTGAGAGAACTATAAACTTGTTAGAAATCCTCGAAGATTTTTCTCCTGCTCCTTTTGTCTCAACAATATTGCCTTTTCTTTTGTGGAATATTTGTACATGAATGATGTTCTAAGAACAATCGTGCTGCAATTTTGCAGTCCAAGAGTAACGTTCTGTGGGTACAGCATTCCTCATCCTTCAGATGCTCGAGTCAACATTAGAGTCCAGACAACAGGTAACATACCCAGTTACAACTGTATGTAGCAACATAAATGACAGTTGTATTGACGACTTCTCTTTGAATTTCTGCCTAAGTCTCGCCCAATCATTAATATTTTCATCAGTTTGCATTATAATAGCATTAAATATATGCTGCTGTCTTTTTTCATCTATCTTACATGGTTTTTTGATAAAAATTGTATGTACTGCTGTTTTAAGTTGACTTTTCTGTGAATTGGAGCCATTGGCTGTCTCTGGACAAATGCTTAGCAGGAACATTATCTAGGCCTCCAGCCTCTGGCAAAAACCATTTAACTACTAGATTTTAGGTTTTGAATAGACGTTGATATCTTGTATGTAGTTTATATTTGTGTGATCTATGTACTCATTTGATTTCTAAGAACCTTCGATGTTGGTATTTAGACTTTATTGAGTTGATTTTTTCGCACAATAAATCTCTAGTTTGTCCTTGTTAACAAATTTATCTGATGTTCATTGTCATTTTCAAATCCTTTTTCCTGTTGTTAAATTCTTTTTCTTGCCTGGAATTTTGCAGGCGATCCGGCAAGAGAGGTATTGAAAGATGCTTGTCAAGATTTGATGCTAATGTGCCAGCATGTAAGGAGCACTTTTGACAAGGCTGTTGCTGATTTTAAAACAAGTGAACGTGGGCAAGCAATGAACATTGATTCAGAAGAGTGATTAAGTCTTGACATGTAGAGTCCATATTATTTCTTCGTTATAGACAAATGTGATATTACTATTTGATAATCGAATGAATGTTTTCATTATATTTGGGGTTGCTTCCATCTTGTTTGCTAACATAACATTGGAATAGTTATATGAGCTAGAAAGTGGTAATCCTTTATATTGGTCAGTTTAGAGATAAAGCAAAATCACCAAGTGATGGGATTATATACTAATAGAGTGGTAGCTTTGCATTGATTAATGGATAGTGTAACAATGGTCAGTGAAACGCTTGTGGTTGCGAAGAATGATGATTCAAAGCAGTGAGAGAAATTGCCAATTGATGGCAACTAGCCTTTGTGATCTAACTTGGCTATGGTAGATGGGTTGGTCATGCCCCCATGGCTTCAGGAAATCTGTATGGATTGAACTGATTGCAGTTACAAATTCACAAATCACTATTAGTCTTTCCTTTTGTAATTTCAAGTAAAGATATATATTGGAGAAAGTACATTTTTCACATAGAAGAATCCATCTAGGTTAATTGTATGTACAAGTTTTTTCTTGACCATCTTCCAGTAGCACATTTCACAGACAATGAAAAGCAATTCCCACTCAAAAGCAAGGTTTATATAACATACAATTCATGAACACAGAAGCTTTTCACTACTATGTGTTATAACACACAACATAGAGCTAGAGAGGAGAGGAGACTGAGGATGGGTAGAAATAGAGACCAAATATAAACACCATTACATGTGGGAGTTCATNTTGATATCTTGTATGTAGTTTATATTTGTGTGATCTATGTACTCATTTGATTTCTAAGAACCTTCGATGTTGGTATTTAGACTTTATTGAGTTGATTTTTCGCACAATAAATCTCTAGTTTGTCCTTGTTAACGAATTTATCTGATGTTCATTGTCATTTTCAAATCCTTTTTCCTGTTGTTAAATTCTTTTTCTTGCCTGGAATTTTGCAGGCGATCCGGCAAGAGAGGTATTGAAAGATGCTTGTCAAGATTTGATGCTAATGTGCCAGCATGTAAGGAGCACTTTTGACAAGGCTGTTGCTGATTTTAAAACAAGTGAACGTGGGCAAGCAATGAACATTGATTCAGAAGAGTGATTAAGTCTTGACATGTAGAGTCCATATTATTTCTTCGTTATAGACAAATGTGATATTACTATTTGATAATCGAATGAATGTTTTCATTATATTTGGGGTTGCTTCCATCTTGTTTGCTCACATAACATTGGAATAGTTATATGAGCTAGAAAGTGGTAATCCTTTATATTGGTCAGTTTAGAGATAAAGCAATATCACCAAGTGATGGGATTATATACTAATAGAGTAGTAGCTTTGCATTGATTAATGGATAGTGTAACAATGGTCAGTGAATCGCTTGTGGTTGGGAAGAATGATGATTCAAAGCAGTGAGAGAAATTGCCAATTGATGGCAACTAGCCTTGGCGATCTAACTTGGCTATGGTAGATGGGTTGGTCATGCCCCCATGGCTTCAGGAAATCTGTATGGATTGAACTGATTGCAGTTACAAATTCACAAACCACTATTAGTCTTTCCTTTTGTAATTTCAAGTAAAGATATATATTGGCGAAAGTACATTTTTCACATAGAAGAATCCATCAAGGTTAATTGTATGTACAGGTTTTTTCTTGACCATCTTCCAGTAGCACATTTCACAGACAATGACAAGCAATTCCCACTCAAAAGCAAGATTTATATAACATGCAATTCATGAACACAGAGGCTTTTCACTACTATGTGTTATAACAGACAACATTAAGCTAGAGATGAGGGGAGACTGAGGACGGGTAGAAATACAGACCAAATATAAACACCATTACATGTGGGAGTTACATCTTGTCCCTCGGAATGAGAGCAAAATGCTAAAGCTTCACTCTTGACATTCATGATAAGACTTTGAAGTGAAAGAGCCAAGATATGACAAAGGCAAACACCATGCAGGCAAGTAAGAAGTTCAATATGCGGTGGCCCTCCCAGAAGTTTCGAGTTTCCACTGAGATCATAGGTGCTGCCGATGCTGATGAGGCTGCAGCAGCAAAACCATTTGACTGATTTATTTGCTCACCAGCAACATTAACTGCAGTGGAGCCACAAATCTCACAGATCCTGGAATGAATAAGAAAAATTTAGTAAGCAATAAAGTGTCAGATGACATAAGAATATAAATCACAATGAACTGGTGTACAAACACTAACAGCATGCAGCAAAAATAAGACTACATTGAGGTTAAAAATTCGTGAATGCATCCTTCTGTACTTCCGTCTCCATTATTTCGCATGTGTTCAAACAGCAAGATGAACACATTGCTTTCTTCTCACTTGCAAGATAAGTGACAATCAATCTTCGTTTCTTCCCAAACCCCAAGCATTTCCACAATATGTACAATATTTTGAGTTAGTTAAAACAAGTCCTGGCAACACAAATTTATTGTAGTACCTGGTGAGGAAGTAGAACAACAAATATGCATTCATGTTCATACTAAAATGAAGAACAGTGGAATGACCTCCGAACATAATAGAAATTAAGAACTTTTCAATTTCTGAAGATGCCACCACTGCATCTCCACTATGATAGTTTTGTTTCTTTTCCCATTTGATACTTTGTTCTCTGTAAATGATTTATAGTACCATTGCGAAATTATATCGAGATGATAATTCTCTAGAGAGATAAAGATGGATCATTAACTTAATGGGTTTGACTGAAAAGACCATTCAGATTTTGCGATCACAGCTTCTTAACAGAGAGGAAAAGTAAAGTTTTGGGATACATGTGCATTCAAGTATGGAGGAATTTGAATCCAAGAGTTCATCAGTAAAAAAATCAAAGGGAGGATCCTCTAACCGATAGTATCTTCTACCACCAAGTCATGCTTTCCCCCTTCACCCCAAAATCACATTATCATTTAAGTCTATATAGCTGGAACTAATTTGCACACCGAAAGCAAAATTGGAGGAACCGACTACTCTCCTATACTTTAAGCATCTTACCTAAAATAAGTAAACAATTAAATAACAGAGTACCAGAACTAAATTAAAGAGACGGCAGTTGCATATTCGTAGCTCCAAATATAAACCAACAAACTCAAGATTCCATGGTAGACCCTTTGCACTAACAATATGCCGAAATCAACTAATTGGTATCCAAAATAAGTCAACAAACAGACAGAATCTAGCATCAAAAAACAGTTCTATTACACAAAACATAGCACAATTACTCAAAAGTCAAAACCACCAAATGGGTATCCATAGTGGTCAACAACTACACAAAATCTAGCAAAAGATCAAACCTTTAGTACTCATAACTCATCATCATACACAAATGGTCAGCATCCATCTTAGAAAAACCAAAAATATAGCATAAAAATTCATATAAAACATAAAGTTGAAGTCTTTTGACTCACATGTTACCCTTGATCTTAAACCAAGTCTCAGCACATTGTTTGTGAGCAGAACCCAAATCACCTTTACAAGAACAACCCAACTCAATGGGAGGCCTAAACTCTTGAGAATAACCATCAAAACCCAAGTGGCAAATCCTACAATCTCTGACTGACTTATCATCTAAATGCAGCGCCACCAACGAAACACCACTCTCCAAGTCCACCTCAGACGAAGAATCTGAGTGGAAGTGTTCCCCAATCTCGCCGGAGAAGTCGCTGGAGACTGACAAGTCATCATGGCAAGTCTCTGAAGTAGACATTCTGTGAAGTGAAGAAAAAAAATCAAGCAATAGTGACAAAGAACATAAGCATGCTAGTAATTATTTTGTTTATGTTGAAACTTGAAAGGGCTTTTCTCTCCTTTTTGGTGTCAAAAAATACAGTGACTGTCTCCCTCTTTATATATATGTACGTACGGTATGCGTCAGGTCTTTGCAGTGATGGTGAAAGAGAAACGCAAAGGACAGACATCACACAAAAGCTTTGGAGTAGTAGTGAAGAGAATAATAATAAGTGAATTGTCGGCTGTGGCCTGTGGGGCTAATTAAAGTATTAAACTAAAATTAAGAGATAAATATCAGTTATTTGTAATAGTTTCACATTATTAGTTGTGGCCTGACAGTACAATTTCCAAATAAAACAAAAAGATTTTGCTCAACAATGTTAATTGGGTTAACTGCATGCAAGTAAACTAAATATTGCAGAGTTGCAGACATCAATTCTGAGGCCTCTGAGGTGGGTACCAGCTCTGTATCAAAAGTACTTTTCAGTGTCATTAACAGTTTCCTATGTTCCCCAATTCTACCTATACCTTCATATAGAGCCTCCTGAACTTCAATAATAACAATAATTAATTAATTTTTAGTTGTTGTTTATCTGCATTTTAACTTTTTAAGTTCGAATTTGAATAGAAAATTTAATGGTTTACGACTGTAACCGAAATTTAGTAGGAAGAAAATATTGCAGAGCCAGTGGAATAAGTAGAACCCCATCAATCATGGAGGTCGTCTTCAGGACAAGCCTATCAGAGATTAAAATTATAGTAAATACACCAATAATAATAATAATAATAAAAAGAGATTATTTGCAATTCCAATAGCATGGTCTAAGGGCAAACAGTGACTTTATCTGTATGGGCACGTTTTATAAACTGAAACTTTATTTTGGTAATATAAAATGTTCTATAGTTAATGCCCAACTTCAAAATCACAATACTAATTTAATAATATGTAAAGTTTTAGGTTATAATTAAGAAGATAATGTTGTTTATAATATGGGATTATCACCCCTGTACTACACCTAAACATAGAGAAAGCTGAAGTGGGTAATATAAATAATTTGATTAAATTTTGTTGTCCAGGTGAAGTTGCTACTTCATAAGGCAATGAATATAGACTTGCTGATTGAAGCATTTTCACTTATAATAATATGCTGATATATAAATTTCAAAGTAACTATTACATATGATATCGTGGTGGTGAGTAAGTACTCCCCATAATAAGTTTAACATAAAACAGAGATCTAATGGATAAATCAAAGCAAGGTAAGTGTAACATATTGTGGAGTTTAATCAAGCTGGAATAGGAGCATGGGCTGGAGAGATGTCTAATTCAGCTGACATGGGACCTGGGGAAGAAACGGGACCTGGGGAAGAAACAGGACATGCAACCGCACCAGAGCTCTTAATCTCGACCATGCCACGCCTTGGATTTGCTAGTTGTACTTCACACAGAGTAGGCAAATGCACTCCTGTACAAATGTAAATTCTTTTATGATAAACAAAAACTGCATACAAAATATCTTTCGAAAAGACTTGTGGAAGAGAAAAAGTTACCTTCTGCAAGAGCCAAGTTGAAGTAAAGGTCAACAATATTGGGGCAAGCTTGATAGCATTGTGGGGAGCAAAGCTTGGCAGTGAAGTGAGGCTGAAGAAGAAAATCTGATGAAATACCAACAGATTTCCTTTCAACTCCACATGCGCTAATGCATTCATCAGTTTCAATCAAATCATGAATGACACCAACAGACACATCAGATGTCTTGCATTGATATGCCACTGTTCTATCATTTGCTGCATAGTTCTCTAGCAAGCATCGCTTCCCAGAATTCGACACCGAAAATGAGCAGAGCTCAGTAGGCAACTTCTCACATATAATCCCACCTGCATAGTTCAACAAAACAGAAGATTATTAGACAAACGAAAGACTGTATTAGCATAAAACGAAGAGAGTTAAACATTAGAAGTAGTAATGGGTGTACCAAGTGCTCCTTGAAGGAAGAATGAGAAAGCAAGAAAGAGGACGAGAGCCATTTTTGGTGAGGAAGCTTTGAGCTAAACAAGTGTTGTTAGCCTTGTTGGTTACCTTGGCAATGAAGAACAATGAGTGTGTATGGATTTATATATAGGGGTGGGACTAGAGAGTTGGAGTTGGTGATGACAGTTTTGAGGTCAAGAGTAATAAAGGAATCTAATCAACATAACTTGTAGGATAAAATGCCGAACTTTAAATTCTAAAATCATGACATGAACACATTGGAGGAGAGGAGAGGAGAGGATTATAGATGTGATGTCTTGGTGGTACCGAAACTCTAACTGGGTCATTTGATGGGTGACAAGTGTCAGCAGATGGGGTTAGCTTTTGGCATGTAGGAGTCTTAAAGATTGTGGAACGTTGTTGGAAGTTAGCAGTTTGGAATAGGAATTGGGATTCACTGCCTATACTATACCTTTTTGTGTCACCACATTTGAAGTTTGACTTGGCCTTCCAGAATGGTGATTTGGTTTGACATGGGAGTTATGCCGAGATGTGTTTTGCTCGTGTATTGTCTCTTCTCATTGTTCTCAATACAATCCTCTTTGTCTCTTTTACAATCAAATCAGTGTTCTAAACTGAGCATACGCGATTTAAGTGGAAGACTGTAATGATAGGTTATTTTGTTAATCTTTCATAAAAATTAGTCGAGGTACACATAAACTGGGCCGGACACCTTGGTTACAAAAATAAAAAATGTTCTAACCCAATTTGTCATTTATCTTTGGTAAATACTTTACAGAAGACATTTTGGGAATCGTCTTGCTAGCTCATGTAGGCAGGCTCAGCAATCAACAAAACCACTACATGCACTGTAAAAAGGATGGCATGAAAGTCATTTAAATTGTACCATAATCATGAAGATTTTAAGGAAAAATGAAATGAATTTTACAGCCAGAAACTAACAACTACTTAAATTGATGTGACAATCATACAATAATCACACATTATATATTTCAATTTGATTTATTAATAAATTTATACTTCATTAATCATAGGGCTATTACCATTCCGCCGACATTTCTTTGAAAAAAAAAAAAAAAAAAATCCTTAAGAAATGCTGGCCAAATCGCACCTGACTTAGGTGTATTGTCTCCGTTTGGTTGCCAATTGGGAATACTATTTTTAGTATTCCCAAAAAAGTTAAACAGTAAAATACCCAAAAACTTTAATTTTTGAAAATACTACCCCTATATTATTCAAATTTTTTTAAACCCCTTAAATTTGATAATTTATTAAATACCCCTAAATATTTATTTAAAATTACAAAAACACCCCATAATTCATATTTACCAGATTCCGACCACCACTACCGAAAATGGCCGGAATCTGTGAGATGGCGCACTACCGCTGAATCTAGCCGGTAGTGCGCCGATCTAGCCTTTTTCGGTCAGATCCATGGTGGATCTGGCCGAAAAAGGCCAGTCTAAGACCAAAGATTTGGCCGTTGACGGCCAGATCTTGGCCGCAACGATTTATAACGACGCCCACAAACGGTCGTCGTTGACCATCAACGATGATCGTTTGTTGGTCGTCGTTGACGAGAAATACGGCCAGATCTGGCCGTAGATCTGGCCTTTGTCGGCCAGATCCACCGTGGATCTGGCCGGCAAAGGCCATATCGACGCACGACCAGCAAGATCCAGCAGGTCATGCGCCAATACGGTGAACCCGGCACTCTCCGGTGGTGGTGGCCGGCTGTCCGTATTTGACATTGGATTGGGGTGTTTTTTGTTAACTTTTAAAATTTTATTATAAGGGGTGTTTTGTAAATAAACAAATATAGGGGGTATTTATTAATTTATAAATCCTACATCGTAATACCCGCCCAATCAACTTTTTTTTTTACTTTTTTCAGAAAACTTTTCCCAAAAACACCCAATTGTGAACCAAACAGAGCCGTTATCTTTCACATTTCATCTTATATTTACATGTGAAAGTCCTTAAAAATATATATATATATATATAAAAGAATAAAAAATAAATCTGAAAAAGATTTAGAAAAGGGAAAAATAATAAAATAATGTGAAAACTAAAAATCTAACAATTGAAATAAAAATATATTTTTTTTTGAAAATTTTGAAACATTAATAATCTCAAAAATTAAAAATTAACTTAATGAAAAATAAAATAAAAAAAGTCTGAAATATTCAAAATTAAATACTCCAAAAAATTATATAAAAATGTAATTTCTGAAAACTAGAAAAAAACTGAAAAACTGTAAAAAAAGAAAACAAAAACTTTCGAAAATTTTGAAAAAAGAAATTCCAAAACTGAAAAAAAAAAAAAAAAATTTCAGTTGGTGGCTGGAATTGCACCTGCCAGCAACTGATTTTTTTTTTTCTTTTTCAGTGCCAGGTGCAGTTTGGCTGGAATCACACCAGGTTAGGTATGATCCAGCCAGAATCGCACTTGGCCGCGTCCGGCCAAATTGCACCAGGCCAGGTGCGATCTGGCCTGAATCGCAGCAGGTCGCCAGAATGGCACCAAACCAGGTCTGCTGCAGCTCTGGTCCTAAATTGGTCCCGGCCTAGGCTATGCTGACCTTAAACAGCAGCCATAATTTATTATCCAGGTCTGCTGCAGCTCTAGTCCTAAATTGGTCCCGGCTTAGGCTATGCTGACCATAAGCAGCAGCCATGACTTATATTACCGTAAGCAGTAAGCCAAACCAACATCAACCAGAAAAATGTACACTCCCAACCATTAATGGTCAAACAAATACCCTTAACTGATGCATTAGTTATAAGTGGCAAGGAGAATGAAAAAAGGCACCAATAGCATTCACAGCATCAAGCCTGACATAAATTTTTAGTTGCACCTAATCATCACCAGAAAAATGTACACTCTCACCTAGGGGAATAATAAAAAAATAACACATAACAAATTACCAGCTAGATTCCTTAGAATGTTGTGTTGTCTAAACTGAAATTCACCCCAAACAGAAGAAAAGTTCAATAAAATTATTTCTGTTGCTTAATATTACTCTTGACTACAAACCTTCATTCGCCTTTCTAGTAGTATGTCTAGTCTCATGCCACAGGCATGTTACATGGAAGCATCATTTGAGTCCAAAAATGGTTTGATTGAAGTTCACTACCATGTTTAAAGGATGGAGTGCAACAGCAAAACATAGGACAAGAGCAAGGACAACAGAGTATGATGGTCAGCCAAGCAATACCAAAATTTAAGGAAATTGATTAAGCTGCTAGAACCTCAGCTGTTGCAGCATTTTCTGTTGGTGTTGTTAACCTTGGTGTGTTTTCAGCTGATTTTATCGAGCTTGGGATGTATCTCCAACAACGTTTGTGAACTCCACTTATTTTCTTGGGACCATCTGCAATTGGCAAGCCTGTAATAAACACCAATATCATCAACCTTAATTTAAAAAAAAAAAAAACCTCAACAGAGAACGAAACCTCACAGGATGTGTGATGTATAATTTTTTGCAGTTTGTACAGATTCAAGTAGGACTAAAATGGATAGATATAGTTCAATCTCAAGAGTAGCTGCCACAGGCCATATACAAATATCAATTACATCATTTAGTTAATCAATTGCTTCAATTAAGGCCAAGAACACTGGATACATTCTATCAGACAAAGGTGGCAACATGCTTGTGGAGCACCTTTCACACAAAATTGAATTCAGATTCCATATGATAGCTCCATTCAAAACCCTACACCTAATGTTCAACAATAATTTAATGCATTTCTAAAAAGAAGCAAGAAAGTAATTGTAACTAACTCTCAATAACTACCACATACTAATACTTCTCCTTCATCCCAATTAAGTAAAAGTAAGCCATAGATGTTTTGGTGCCTCCCACCATAGCCTAGACTGTTCCACACCGTCGACTAGGCAATAATGCCCTGACAAGAATCATCACCAATTTTTATTCAAAATAAGAAGTTTTAGAAGCTAGTGGTGTCATTTATTTTTATTTTTAACTTGAAAACATTTTGCTTTCTCCATTTTCTTAATCTTTCACTACAAAACCCCCACTCCTTACCCTTGATGCTTTCATGAAACTTTCATTCATTTTTTTTACTAACATTGTACAAATCAAAATTTGCCTCAATGCAATACTATAACACNGTGATGTATAATTTTTTGCAGTTTGTACAGATTCAAGTAGGACTAAAATGGATAGATATAGTTCAATCTCAAGAGTAGCTGCCACAGGCCATATACAAATATCAATTATATCATTTAGTTAATCAATTGCTTCAATTAAGGCCAAGAACACTGGATACATTCTATCAGACAAAGGTGGCAACATGCTTGTGGAGCACCTTTCACACAAAATTGAATTCAGATTCCATATGATAGCTCCATTCAAAACCCTACACCTAATGTTCAACAATAATTTAATGCATTTCTAAAAAGAAGCAAGAAAGTAATTGTAACTAACTCTCAATAACTACCACATACCAATACTTCTCCTTCATCCCAATTAAGTAAAAGTAAGCCATAGATGTTTTGGTGCCTCCCACCATAGCCTACACTGTTTCACACCGTCGACTGGGCAATAATGCCCTGACAAGAATCATCACCAATTTTTATTCAAAATAAGAAGTTTTAGAAGCTAGTGGTGTCATTTATTTTTATTTTTAACTTGAAAACATTTTTCTTTCTCCATTTTCTTAATCTTTCACTAAAAAACCCCCACTCCTTACCCTTGATGCTTTCATGAAACTTTAATTCATTTTTTTACTAACATTGTACAAATCAAAATTTGCCTCAATGCAATACTATAACACAATTCAATGCTTCCTAAGCCACTAAAACTTCAAATGAATGAATCAGTAGCCATCACATGGCAACGCAGCCAACAAGTTGAAAGTAAAAGAGGGCAAAGATATAAAACTTTGATAAACAAATTAATCCAACAAGTTGAAAGTCCAAATACGGCAAAAGAAATTTACATCGATAAAAATTAAACACGTGTCGTGAAAAATGAGTAGACTTTCTTTGTTCCCGTAGAAATCTATAAGAGCTTCCCAAGCTAAGCAGTCAAAAACTTATCAAATGATCATGGAAGTCCCTATTAAATTGTTTGTCTAACAGATTAGACACAGAATCATACAAAATCCAAAACAATCCCACATGAAACACAAACTTGTTAGGCCAAAACAAATAGTAGCAAATAAAACTTCTGATTTCCAGTAGCAAGTAATTGCCAAAAAACCTAACTAATATCAAGCAAAGTTAACCCAAAGAAAACCACAAAAGTTATAGATAAAAATATTAAAAATCAACAAAACTGACCATCTTTATGAGCAATTCCCCAAGCTTTTCCATGCTTACCATCCTGAAACAAAACCCAACAACATCAGGAGAATGCTATGTTACAGGGTGCTAATCCCAGGAGCCTTACTGGACTCTTGAGCATTAACACTTTACCCTTAAACCCTAAACCCCAATGTATTAAAACAAAAACATATTAACAAGGACACATATAATGAGCTCATTCTCCATTGGTTTGTTCTTAATAAACAGCAACAATAACAATAATAACGAAACAATTTAAGCAACATAAACGAAGAAAACAATTATTAAAAAATGAGGAAAAGAGAGACCTTGTAAAGATTGATCTTAGTGATCTCGTAAGAAACATTCTCCCAATGAGTTTTCGCTATGTGATACCCAATTCCCCAGTTGGGCAAAAACTGAGCCACCTCGAACAGGTTCTTCTTCTTCCTTCGCTTTGGTTTATTGGAAGCCGGAGCAGAAGTCGAAGCCGAAGCCGGAGAAGCTGAAGTACTGAAGCTATGGAGGAAGTTGAAGGAGAGTCTCAAGAGACTCAGAGATTGATTAGGTGAAGCTCTAGTTGCGAGACTAGTCGCCATCTTAGGTTGCTTTGCTTCTCTCTGAGTGTGCTGTGAAGTGGCTGCTTTGTTAATTTGTTAAAGGTTTATGTTTTATTTTCAGATGGGCAAATATCATTTGGTAACCCTGGGTTTTAACTTTACTACAAAAACCCCTGAATTTTAATTTTTAGAATGAAATTACCCAAAAAAAAAAAAAAAAAAATTTTTAGGATGCAAAGTCTAACACTTTTTTCCAGAGTACCCTTTTATTAGTAAATCTTTAACTTGTAATTTTGCATTAAAAACCCCTACTTATTATACTTCCCAAGTTGGTTTTTTTTTTTTTTGTGATTGAGGGTGTCCGGGCCAGCTCGTGAGCACCTTGACTAATCTCCCGGGATTCTGAAGTTAACAACTGAGTAAACTCTCCAATGACCACACCTATTAACAATCGAAGGGAATCGAACTTAAGACCTCTTGAATAATACACCCAAGAGTCTATGTTGCTCACCCGACCACCCAGGGTTACCTCCCCAATTGTTTGCTTAAACTTCCAAGATTACCCTAAAATTTGTCAATCGCTGTTTCAATAATGAAAAAAAGAAAAAAATTGATCTATCTAATGGGAGACTGGATGTTATAAATTATTTTATCTTGTTTGCATTTCAACCTTCTCTTAGGATATTTTATAAGTTCTTTAGCGCTTCTGCTCCTTTGTTTTCTGGTTGAGATTATTGTTGTAATTCACAAGCCTTGTAGATTGAGAGTGATCCTTTGAGTACCAAAGCTTTTCATTCTCAAACTGGTTTACAGAAAATGAACTTCACTATGAATAATTATGCTGACTCTTGAATACTTCTAGTTTTTCGAAGTCATGTTAATGTTGGAGTAGTATACAACAAAATAAGCACAATATAACCCAAGAATCAGAATATTGGAGTAGTATACTACCATTAAATTCCAAATGAAAGTTGAAGTTTACAACAAATTAAAAGTTTGTTCATACTTGTCTGCATTTTTGAATCATTAAAATGACAGGAAAAAAAACCAGCAACTGGAAGTTGAGGTTAAGAAGAATTGCTATATTGCAATTTTCCCAAATCATTATTACATCTCCTCCTGATACTGCTCCTCTTCATCCTCATAATCTTCTTCCTCGTCAGCTGTTGCATCTTGATACTGCTGATATTCTGAAACCAGATCATTCATGTTGCTCTCAGCCTCTGTGAACTCCATCTCATCCATACCTTCTCCAGTATACCAATGCAAGAAAGCCTTCCTCCTGAACATGGCTGTAAATTGTTCACTCACTCGCCTAAACATTTCCTGGATAGATGTTGAGTTTCCGATGAATGTAGATGCCATCTTCAGACCAGTAGGAGGAATATCACAAACAGTGGACTTGACATTGTGGGGAATCCATTCAACAAAGTATGAAGAGTTCTTGTTTTGCACATTCAGCATCTGTTCATCTACTTCCTTGGTGCTCATCTTACCACGGAACATTGCTGACGCAGTTAGGTAACGGCCATGTCGTGGATCAGCAGCACACATCATATTCTTTGAATCCCACATTTGCTGAGTGAGCTCAGGGACTGTCAAAGAGCGGTACTGCTGTGATCCACGGGAAGTGAGAGGAGCAAAACCCACCATGAAGAAGTGAAGACGAGGAAATGGGATGAGATTAACAGCCAGTTTCCGCAGATCAGAGTTAAGCTGACCAGGGAACCTCAAGCAGCATGTAACACCCGACATTGTGGCAGATATTAGATGATTAAGATCGCCAACTGTCAAAACGAACAACATAATTTCATAAGAGATTTGTTTAGGTCAATTAAAAAACGGCGATCATTCATCATTACTTCTAAAAAAATGACAATTTCACATTAATCTTAAAAGGTCCATACTATTCAGCAACACCATCATGTGGCTATTTGGAGCCATATGTCTATCACAATCATACATCTCAATGAAACCCAAGAAAAAATATAAACGTTTAAGTAGAGTTTTCATACAAGGCAAACAAATTGTAAAGATAACGAAAAACAAAAGAAAGCATAAGGGAAAGCTTACAGCTGGGAGTAGTGAGCTTGAGTGTTCGGAAACAGATATCATACAAAGCCTCATTGTCAAGGACCATACACTCATCTGCATTCTCCACTAGTTGATGGACAGAGAGAGTAGCATTATAAGGCTCAACCACTGTATCAGACACCTTAGGAGATGGAAACACTGAAAAAGTCAACATCATCCTGTCTGGATACTCTTCCCTTATCTTTGAAATCAAGAGTGTTCCCATTCCTGACCCAGTTCCACCTCCTAATGAATGGCACACCTGAAACCCTGCAACACCAAAACAATGTCCTCAATCGAAAAAAAAAAAAAATCGAAATAGTAAAAAGGACAATTATATTACATAAACAGGACCATTTTTCGTTAATTCTGAAATTTTTAAAAAGATACCTTGCAAGCAGTCACAGTTCTCGGCCTCTTTTCGAACAACATCAAGAACAGAATCGATCAACTCAGCACCTTCAGTGTAATGGCCTTTAGCCCAGTTGTTACCAGCTCCAGACTGGCCAAAAACAAAGTTATCTGGCCGGAAAATCTGACCATAAGGTCCAGATCTGACGCTATCCATGGTTCCAGGCTCTAAATCCATGAGAACAGCACGAGGAACGAACCTACCACAACTGGCTTCGTTGTAGTAGACATTGATTCTCTCTAGTTGCAGATCTGAGTCTCCTTCGTAGCGGCCGGTGGAGTCTATGCCGTGCTCGGCACATACCACTTCCCAGAACTTGGCACCGATTTGGTTGCCACACTGACCACCTTGGATGTGAAGGATTTCACGCATTTTTCAAAAATTTGATTTCGTTTTTGGAGAGGTGAAGAAGGAAGATTAGGAGGTGAATGAAAAAGGGCACAAGAGAGGTTTTATAGAGGGGAAAAGAAATGGTGAGGAACTCTTATAATATTTTTTTAATCACTGTGAGAGAATCTAACGGTCATTAATTGGCTTGGGCAGGCCCACTTCAAGATTCAAACGGGAGGAAAAGTAACCGTTCAAAATTAAAAATGAGTTGTAAAAATGTTTTTGAATTTCAAATGGGTGGATACAATACAGCTGGACTCCACTCAGCGGGTTGTTTCTGTTCTGTAATTTTGTCTCTATTCTAGCATTCTAGGTGTGAGAGACGACGCCGTTTCGAGTGCTTATTTTAAGACACGACAGAGAGGCCATTTTACATAGCCAGATAAAATGGCATCGGTGAAAGCTGGGACCAAACACATAGACCACCGCTTCCAATTTGCACAAGAAAACAATAGATAAATAAAAAGTTCTGAATTCTGATTCCAAAAGCTGATACTGGTTTAATCACAAATTACAAATTGAACTTAGATTAATGTTTTATTCTATTCAAGAAAGGAATGGTAATATAAATACTTATATTTAAGCCATTATTTTAACTATGGAGGAGCATCACAAATGAATTTGAATTGAAAATAATATATTTTCACCGTACAATCGAGTACATAAAAGTATATCTATCCGAATAGAAAAGTGCATAGAGCATAAACTGTTCGTACAGGAAAAAAAAAACTCTTGAGAAGCAGACCTTGTCAACACCTTGCAAAGAAGGGCAAAAGACTACAAAACGGGTTAGCATATAAAAGATAAAACAAAAAAATGGGTTAGCCGGAGAAATAAATTAGGAAAATTAGATCAACATTTTTAATATCTGGATGCATGACAAACATACTCCTAGGATTTTGCTACTCTTGGTTCCATTATGTAATTTTGTCCTCTTGGGAACCAGTAAAAAAAAAACACCATCAGAATTTAAACAACCTCTCAACTCACGACCCTATACGCTTCTACTCATTTCATAACCTTGAAAAAAGAAAGGCCTACGTTTGGATATCTATTTTTGCACATACAATTTGCATGAGAAAATTCTTGTCAAAATTCTTATAACAAAAATACTAAATTTACAACTTAATCTCACAACTTCTTTTACAACACTAACGTGACAATAAAGTTGATATTTATTGTCACTACCACGTCAACTAACAACTTTAACTAAACATGAACAATCGTTCCTTAGAAACGAACGACCTTACATTCATAAGAAATTATTGTTCCATTCATAAAAAAATGGTTGTTCTTTCATAAGAAACAAATAAGAAAACAACAATTCCTTATAAATGCACAATTGTTTTTTCATAAAGAACAAATATTTCTTATGAAAGATCGACCGTTCATCCTTAAGAAACTATCGTTTATATTTAGTAAAGTCATTTAGTGATTTGGGTGTGATGAAAGTTTAGGGGATAGTTGCCAACTCAATTGCCACAATAAGGTTATAAGAAAAAAGTTATGAAATTAGATTATAAGCATAGTATTACTCTTCGAATAATGTTTATGATAAACAGTTTATGCGGAATCTTCCTAGTCCAAGACTCTTCTACTGTACTTGACTGAAAAATTGTCACATTATGTTCGGATAACTTTGTTTTTTTTTTAATAGAAAATATTTTCTATTCACCAGTTATTCACAAATTGGCACAAACACTGCATCATCTGGTATCTACAAAATTCAGCACCTACAGTGTACAGCTTAAGTTAGCCATGCCATACTAAGGCATATAGCATTTTTTTGATCCATCATTGTTTCCAATGGGAAACTTGACGTATTAGTAAATTAAAAATAATTATTAACTAAAGTGGGACACATCAGTAGTGGTCCAATTCTCACACTATTAACATGCACCTTCATGGCCTCATCAAACATCGACGGAAGTACATACATAAGGTAACAAATAACCGTGTTTAAGTTCATGTCAATTTTGGCTCTGCGTTCTACCAGACAGAAGAAATAACAGTGCTTAAACTCTCTTTCTCTGCGTTCTACAGTATATAGCTTAAGTTATTCACATTATGCTTATCTAGGATACCAAATCATGCCTACACTATCTTGTATCAAAAGTTCATGTCAATTTCGGCTCTGCGTTCTACCAGACAGAAGAAATAACAGTGTTTAAACTCTCTTTCTTTAAGCCAGATACACTGATAACACAATACAATCAGAGCACGGTAGAGAAAAATTCTTAAAACTTGAAAGAAAGTGATAAATTACCATTGAGAAGAATATCCTCACAAACAATGCTCAAGAATAAATCCACAAACCTGGTACAAACAAAATGAAGAAGCACGATTTGCTTTCCAGAATTGCCATCCAACATTGCAAAGGCTGTCTATAACTTCCATGAAAGCCCCAACTTTCACAAGTATAACAAAGTGGTCCATGAAGCATTAACAGATTCTCAAAGGAGCCAAATTCGCAAAACTTAACCAAAGTTGTAATCAGAGGCAGACAATAGTTATTTTGTTAGACTCTCAGTTAAGGAGTGTATATCACAGGCAATGAGCCATTTAAAGTTTTGGTTTCTCATTAATATTTTCAGATGTAGCATATAACAAACTATAAACAAAGAAGGATATTCCTAGAGAATATGATGGAACCACAATTACTAGCACCGAAGTGTTAATGTTGATAACTTACTAAAGGATAACAAAACTAGAAAATTGTATCTAAAGCATAACATTCTAGGAGATAAATTGCTCTTTAGCCCCTAACCAATGGTTAGTTCAATAGTGTCTTCAATAGGTTCTTCAGTCACTAACTACTACATAGTTTGATGGAATCTTCAAAAAGTTTGGCTTCATGTAGTGGGGCAGTAGCAAGCAATTCTTTGTGCAAACAACCTAAAATAACAAATAAATGACATAAAACTAGCATGCCAGACACAGGACATACATCTTTTTTTCCTTCAACTTTAAATAGAAGGAAGGTTAACTTGATAGTTTGACATAGATCAAGATATGATAAAATTTAAATTCATTTAGATCTGTCAAACAAAATAGCCTAAAAGAAACTGAGCAACTAAGTATAATTTGATCAAGTTAAATGACTTGCTAGTGAGAAAGTCTAGCCAAAATAAAAAATCATTCAGGACAAAAAAGTTAGTAAGCTGGAACCGCAAATCAGAAAATGCTGAATCTAGTTGATTTGTCATGTTATCAGACTTGTGTTACGTTCTCACTTTTCCCCTCTCCAAAAGAGTCAACTAAAAGAAATCAAAAGAAAGAAAGAAAATCGAATCTAGACCTAAAGATAATTCAACAAAGAAACCCTTCAATATCCCTATATTGCAAAAATAGAAGATACTGCATCATTATACAACAGTCCTAATATTTTTCTAGCCCTCCAAGCAAAAGCCAATCATATTGATATAACCCACCAATAAGTCTAGGAAAAAGATAAACACAAAAAAATTTCAACATAGACAAACCAAATATATTACCAATGCCTGTGAAAATTTCATTCTAGCACAAAAAAGGGTCCAGGCATTACAGAAAGTTAAAGCACCAATCTTTGTCACCAGAACATTCAGTGAAGCCCACAACCCCACTTTACCTGAGACTTTCCTAACAAAAGCCTAATAGGAGTAAGCTTACAAGTCCTTTCACTCAAACCAGTTAAACTCTGTTTCAATGAATTATATGTTCATCAATGCATAATAAACCAAGAGGCAATATTGAATACAGCACAGGATACTTGAACATATCTGATTCATTTTTTATATATGAGTCCCATCACTAAAGCACCAAGGTAGGGTTCTGAACTTTGATACAACAACACTTACAACTGAATATGAATGAACTCTAAGTCAATTATGTTTCTTAAGATCATGAAACTACCTACAAGTTTCCTCCGCAAAACACTTGGTGGAAAAAATATTTAAATGTGTTGCAAAACACAGGATAGAATCTCCAGTAAACCAATTACAAAAGAACAGTACTGCAAAGCAAAGAATTCACAAAAAAGAAAATCCTTATATTGAACACAATCTTACCACATCTAAAAAAGATGGTCGAGTAAACCTTTCCACTGAACTTTCAGCCTTTATGTTGTCTGCTTTCCCGTAAAAAGACAGGTCGAATTGAAAAAATCTATTATAGAAAAAAAAAAAAAAAAATTCACCAGAAACAAAAATATCAACTCTGATGGTTAAAGTAACTTGTCATAGTATTATGCATAAGGCCTCAAATTTAATAGAAAGACGTTAACAAGAAGATCAGACTTCAGTAACTTAACCACTGAAAAGTAGTATTGTCATAAAATTCCAGCAAATAAACTAGAAACTTTCTCCCCCTAACACTGGCTAGAAGAATGTATATTTGACACTCTAATCCTATTTTAAAGGCATTTATTAAAATTCCAAATACTCTAAACTTTTCGGATCACAAAATTAAACCAACAAGTTCCACTCAAAACAGCAATTTAATGAAGCTAACCAAGTAAGAAGATAAATCAAACAAGTACATAAGCTTGGTTTTGGCTTCTTCAACTTCTAGATTTCTCTATCTAATTGAAGTTCCAGAGAATGAATGAGGAATAAATTTCCTTCAATAATTCAGCCTATCTCACACAATCTTTCCCAAGTATTGGCATTTAACTGAATACAACTTATAGCACTTTTACCTAGTACTTCTTAATCTAATAAGATAGAGTAACCTGGGATAAATCCCCTCAATATGTAACATATCACAAATTCTATTCACAAAAACAAACTTCCGCACCAAAAAAGTCAGTAGGAATTAGTAATAGCTATGATCCTCAAAGTCTTGCAACATGTTCAAACCTTATTGTGCAATTGATAACAGATAGCCCATCATTAAAGTGTTAAGAAAAGATCAAATTCAATACAAATTCTTCCAATAGCAATCCACGCAAAATTTGATAAAGACAAGTAACTTAGATAGAGTAGCCAAATCTCAGTACGTAAGTATTCATACCTAAAAAGTATCAACACTGGATTACAAGAACTCAGATTTATGAAAACGTAACAGGTGATTAACTCACTGATATTGTACTTGTAAAATCTGTAACTAAAATCAACACTCTTTAACCACAAAATGGCCATGCAAAGACAGCCATAAATGAAAAGATTTCTAGAATATTCGCACTCATAATGTCATACTTTGACTTGTTCCAAAATATACCCTAATTCAGTAAATTTATTTAGATTCTCTTTTCAATTAGGCATCTTATCAAGAGACATTATTCCTTTAGCTAGTAATCTAGTAAATTTCCGTTCTTTGCAGCGACAAGTGGAGCAGATATTTAGAGCAGGAAAAACGGCCGGTCAAAAGAAGATGCATTTAGAAAAAGAGATTATATAGAAGAGAAGATAAATAAGGGTGGGATGTAATGTAACATGAAGCAAAAGCTGAGGAAGGAAAAGAGTGGTTAGGTTGAGTCAAAAACAAAAAATTCATCCAGATAATTTAGCAAAAAACCGATCTCCATTGCTAAACAAGATGGCAAAGATTGTCCCAAGTTAAAAGCAGAAGAGGCAAGTAGCAACCTAGTTCAGTTTTCAGACCTAAAAGCACAGCACCTCAGAGGGCAAATAGAGCAAAGACTAAAATATCTGATAATATAATGTTAACTACCTTTTAAAACAACCTGAACAACAAAATACTGTCCACATTAACGATTCAGGAATTAAGAAGATACAAAATAACTATCAAAATGCCATTTCAACATAACGGGTATGTATCATATGCAAAACTGATATAATGAGATCACTTTCAACTGGAAAATGCTAATTAATGTTAACATAAGACTAACCCAGTTTTGAAATAAAGATTTTAAAATCAAAACCAACAACTTAACTGCCACTGACTTCAGTTCCAAAAACCATCTCCTTAACATGGCAGCAACCTGAAATAACAAGACTACCATAAACCACCCTGAAAGCATAAAAGAGGCATGGAAGGGTGAATCACCTATATTTGCTAATTGCAAAATACCAAAAGAACAAAATCAACCCTGGTCAGCCAAGCAACCAACAAGATCCAACTTGGAGCATTTCACCATGCCTTAATGCTTTTTCCCGCGGCCCTCAAGATTTGCATTTCTTGACTTGTTTGCATCATCATGTATGGAACGATCACCAGGTGTTCTATAAACCAAAAAGCAAAACAGAAATTAAAAAAGGTTTCAAAAACACAGATTAATTGAAGTTTAGAGGGATAAAGTATAACAAAAACAATAATAGCTTACGATTTCTGTTTCTTTGCATTCTGCTTGATACTTACAACCATATCCATAGCCAACTTTTGATGCTCCCTTGTTTGTGAATGCAGATCCAAACCATCCACTGTTTCACAATCAACCTTACAAATGCGGCACCATCCCATGCTTGGAGCCTTCCGTTTTCTTGAGTTGTCAAAAGGCTCCATATCACCCTGATGTTACCATGACAAAGAAACCTATGATGTCCATTCACTTTGCATATATTGAGATGTAAACACTATATCAAAAAATATAATAGTTAACTTTCTTCAAAAAAACATAAGTAGCAAAGAATTCTCAACTGTATAGAATCCACCATCATTTGGGAAACCCTGATGCGAAAAGCTGCTCCTGAATCCAGGCTCACCAAGTCTTGGATGAGGAAAGTTTCCTGGCCCACCCAAGTCTCCCATACGTGCATGACCGGGAATTCCACCAAAACCAACCGTTTCTCCCAGCCTTAAATTTTGAGGACCTAAATGTTCACCCCTCCGTAAATGGTTAGGCAGAAAATCTCGACCAACAAAATCACCACTCCTACCAGGCCTCTCAAACTCACCCCTGCGAAAATGGCTTGGGAAAGCTGGAAACCTACTATCATGAAATGAATTGCCAATTGGATCACCAAATCGACGGAACTCCCTGCTGTCAATATCATCCAAGCCTGAGTGGCTGCTACCTAAATTCCCAGGAAGGCTTCCAAATGCACGTGAGGATATCCCAGGAAATTCTCTAACTGGACTCCTTGGACTCAATCCATCCATATGACGGCGTCCATATCTAGGTCCTACTCCAAGAAACTCTGGATGAGAACGAGCAGAATCTGATCTCCCTGGTGCATCTTCATGAATACCAGGTGGTCTTTCTCCAGCATAGGAGGGCAAAAATCTTGACGGAGCAGAGCCAGGCACATGATCCAATTTCAACCCAAGATCATAGTTCAATCCTCTATCATATGGCTTTGGTCCCACATCGATACCAAAACCATGAGGACCCCTATCTAGAGGCCTAGATGAGGGAAAGCGACCACCAAGTTTAGCAAAAGGCTCAGTATCCAAATGAGAAGGTCTAGGAAATTGCTTGAGATCTTCTTCAAGCTCTCCACGATCAATAACCCCTTGAGCTGGGTCCATTGGGACTGGATTCAGACGTTCACCTAGAAAAGGCTTAAATCTTTCATCTGGTAACTCAAGGCCTGAGGCCCCATTCAATCTCATCGTATTAGACTGTAAACCAGACAGCTGCCCATAAGGACTTTGTTCCAGTGAGCCTGGTAGATGAGAATCAGGTCGTCTTCCATCCAAGTAGCCCGGCCTCTGACCTTCAGGGCCATACGATGGCCCTCCTATCATTCCACCATGTGAGTCAAATGCACCAGGTGGTACTGGCCTCAGTGGCAGCCCTCCAACAGGATCACTTTGTGATATTCTGGGAGCCCCAAAATGGGAAGGGGGCAGATGACCTTGATTATAAGGCCCATGAGGTGCCGTCAGTGGTTCTAAGCTATGCTGAGGAGGACCATGATGACCTGCTCCCCTTCCAAAGGCTGCTGCAGCGGCTGAGCCTGAAATGCCAACTGGAGGTATTTCAGGACCATGGGGCTTGAATATAGGTGGCTGGAAATTATCAGCAGGCATTAAAGATTGTCCTGGATGTGATACATGACTAGAGCCCTGTGGCCTAAACTGTGTAGGAGGGTTCCCCAGGCCCTGTGTGTGATGTAATGGTCCTGGATGTGGTGCTTGGAACATTGACGGTGCAGTAGGCCTTTGTTGAAGAGTTGAGGACCCATAATGTGTTGAAGGGGACAGCACAGAACCTCCAGGTTGCACCTGACCAGCTGGAGGTACTAATGCAGGACCTTGAGGCAAAGTTTTGCCTTTCTGCAGCATCCCACTCTGTTCTCCAAGTTGTGAACCTACCTGTAATGGGGAACTTTTCTGTAGAGAACCATTCTGAATTTCCTTTTCTTCCAACACAGAATGTCCCACTTGTTTGCAGTCAACATTAGCTGAATCTTTATAGTCCCCAATATTTTCTACAACCTCTTCCTTAACCACCAGCTTAATTCCAGGCACTGCATTTCCTGATGCACCTGACTCCAGATCTGTGACAAACTCCTTAGCAGAAGTATCAACTGGATTAGTTTTATCTTCAACTTCAGCTTTGATCTCATCAACCATCAACTTTACATCACTTTCAGATTTGGGGACTTTCATACCTACTGCATCAGCTTGAGGACCAGAAGCTGCATTCAATGTATTTCCATCAGTTTTTGCAGTTTTCTGAGAAGATGGTTCTACTTTTTTCTCATCTTCACTTTTCTCAGCAATGTCTTGCTTCTCAGATATTGCTTGTTCTAATGTTGCCGCAGACTGTTTTTCAGAAGACAATTGCATTTGGTTGTTGGTCCCGAGCACGTTACTCTGATTTGAAAAAGGTTGGTTTAAACCATACTGAATTGCTCTACCCTGCAGACCTGCTGCAGATTGTTGATATGGTTGGGATTGTGCTGCATGATTAGGATTCATAGGCCGTCCTACAATATTTTGGTACTGATGGGGTTGCATACCATGCAAAAGTGCAACATTCGGCTGTGGCTGTGAATAGGGATGAGAAGGCTGCTGGAATGAATTAGGTGGACCCTGTGGACGCAACTGGGATTGCACAGATGGATGTTGCTGTGCAAAGGGAACTTGCTGATACTGTCCTGTAAAAGACGGCTGCTGCTGCCCATACAGTTGAGGCATAGGTTGTTGCATTGGCTGAATAACAGGACGCTGATGTCCTGGAAGTCCTGGTTGATGAACATGAGGGTGAACTGGTGGTTGTTGTGCTGGAGGAATGTTTGGCACTTGACCTGGTGCAGGTAACACTGCTGATTGCTGCTGATTCGGAATTGTAGCATTAGGTTGCGGTGGACGCATCTGGGGAGTTTGTTGAGAATATTGATTCTGTATTTGCGGATAAGATCCACCATGTGGATGCAGAAGCATGGGATGTTGTAGTGGGCCACTCAATGGTATTTGCTGATGAGGCTGAGGCTGAGGCTGTGGCTGTGGGTAAGAATGGTGGCCTGTTACTGCATGGGCTGCAGTATGCTGGGTCTGTGTCTGGTTGGGCAATGGGGGGTTGAGTTGAGAATGAGTCTGGGACTGGGACTGGACCTGTGTTTGTTGCTGAGTTTGAGATTGAAGTTGAGGCTGAGGAATAGGATGCTGAATTTGGGGTTGCTTATTTTGCATATGAGAAAGAGGTTGTTGATACTGGGGCATTTGCATATTTGGGGGATGGGGCCGAATGGGCTGAGGTTGTGGATGAGCCTGAGCTTGGGCATAAGACTGAGCTTGAGCTTGAGGATAAGATTGAGTCTGAGAAAGTGGCTGGCCCTGCGGAGGTAGATGAGTTTGCTGCTGTGGGTTGACTTGTGTCAGACTCAGAGGTTGAGTTACCACAGTCACAGGTGCCTGAGCTGGTGGTTGTGAGGGCTGAATTTGTGGCTGGGGCTGAGCTTGGGGTTGAACCAGGGGTTGAGGCTGCATATGCGGTTGACGTTGCGGTTGAGTTTGGGACTGTGTCTGTGGCTGTACAAACCCCTGAGGTTGAGCCTGCAATTGCTGCTGCTGATATTGTGGAACCGCTTGTTGTTGATAGGGGTAGTATTGTTGATAATACTGCTGGTAGTATTGCTGATATTGCTGTTGCTGTTGATACCATTGCTCTGCAGAAGGTACTGCAGCCTGAACAACAGCTTGGGCCTGAGAATTTGAGTTGGTTTGTTGGCCAGCATCTTTTCCAGTTGGAGGGATGGCAGTTGTTTGGGTCTGGATCAGAGAAGTGGTCACCCCTGCCTGAGGGGCAGCCTGGGTCTGATCAGCTGTACCTGGTGTGCCTGTTGCAGAAGCATCCTGAACACCTACTGCCTGTTGTGCTTGAGGCTGCACACCCTGTTATTATACAGTAACAATAACAATAAATTACAAAGATTACTAGAGTACTAGTTTTTGTTGCAGTACAGTGAAAATAAATAAATTAGAAAGATTACAAAAGTATCAGCTTATATATTTATATATGTAAGATGCATTCTTCAACTTACAGGACAATTTTGAGCATGATCCTGTACTTGGCGATGAACAATCTGAATTCCACACCTATTACATACAACAGGCGAATTTCCAAAGGCACACCCTGAACAATGTGATGTACACTCAGATAGAGGACCCTGCCACGTACATCCACTCCTATGGTATAGACAATGAACGGTTATCTTGCCAATTGCTTCGGCAAGTGTTCTATTTGACTCTGCAAGTGGCTGCAATGAGTAGTTATCAGAAAAAAAATATATGCATATCAATAATAATGTTATTACTGAAAGATGACAAAGCAGTCCAAAACAGAGAAAGAAAAAAACCTTGGAATCTGCTTCAGTCACTAAATAGCCATCATAAGGGCAAGCCTGGGTAGTGCTGATAATGTATGTCAAACACGGTTTACAGTACAGATGAGTGCACTGTGACTGTAAAGCTTCATTTGGGTAAACAAGTAGACGACAAACAGGACAGAAGTACTCTCCAGCTAGAGATTGAATGTTCAATACGCACTCATTATCGAAACCCATGCTGTCCTATGGACTTAGCTTTGACTCCCAAACAGAGTCAACACTCTCAACCTGCACATACAAGCAGCAACCATTGCATGCTCTCAACAGCAACATGATATATGGAAAGTGACAATCACAGAAAGAATAACGTATGAAGAAAATTATAAAAATATAAACCAAAATAATAATGAACATACAAAAAACCAAATAATTGGCATGTGTGTATATCTAATGCCAAACGGTTAGCACAATGACCCTTCAAAAGTAGAACAAGAAAACATCACACAGGAACATCAATTTCACATATTTATACGAGCATGGCTTCTATGAAACATGCACTGAAACCAAACCAACAATGCAGATAAATTACCAAACAAACAAGCAACAAAACATGCACTAAAACCAACAATGCAGATAAATTACCAAACAAACAAGAAACCAAACATGCACTAAAACCAAACAAACAAGCCACAAAGACTGATAACCCAGAAATGCACAATTTAACTTCATCAACACTCATTCATACTCCTACAAAACCAATAATATGACACTTCTAAGTTCCCAAAACTCATCAACAGCAACAACAAACAGCAAAACAAGGAAAAAAAAATTAAAGCCAAACGCAGTCCGAAAATTTATCAATTAATTGTCATTTAATTTTAGAAACATAGTCCAATGTTGAACTGCACATAAATCCTGTACCTAAAATCCCCTCTTCAGTGTTTCAATTATCAGCACCTTAAAACCCTAACCAAACATACCTGCAAAACTGGAAAACAAATAAATTGATTAAATTAAAATAAAGTTTCTTAGGGTTTAAGCGATCAGAAATGTGAAAATTAGCAAAAAATAACAAACCAGTGATTTTGGGAGCAATAGTTCTTACGAGTCTGGGAGGAATGTTCGGGAAGCTAAAGCGAAGCTCCTGATTCTTTAATATTTTTTTTTTTTTTTTTAGAGAGTACAGTGAAGCCAAAGAAAATGAAAAATATTCAATTAAAAGGCTTAACTGGTTATATAGAAATTGCTGAAAACATGGATTAATTTAATTAATTAGTTAATTAATTCTTGTTGTTAACGCCCTACGACGTCGTTAATGGGCTACGTATATAGAAATTCCATTTAATTGAAATAAGTTGAAATGTTTTCCTTTAATCTTATAGATATCCTATGAATCCATATAGACAATGCATTGAATTAAATTCCAATATTTATTATATTTAATATAACACACAAAATTCTCATACATGAAATTTGATAAATAAGATTAATCAACATGTTAATTACCCCAATAATCAAGATCAGTGTAACTGAAACTTGTAAGTAGGGGTGAGCATGAAATATGGGTAGAACCGAAATCGGAAGGTACCCAGGGTTCAAAAGAAACCAACATGGAAAATGTCAATTTCAGTTCCAAATTTGGTGGAACCACATCGGTTCCACCACTTTAAGAATCATAACTGAAACCAAAACTGAGGTCCGAGTACTCGGGGTGGAACCGACCGATACCCAAGATATATTTCTAATTTGTCATTTTGTGAATAATAGGGGTATTCATAATTTTCCTAAGTACTCATAATCGAAACCAAAACCGATTAGTTTTGGTTCTGATTTCGATTTCGATTTCGATTCTTTGAAAAATGGCATGTACCTAGAGCTGATCACCCCTACTTGTAAGGACATGAAGAAAACATACCCAAACCTAAATGTTGTTTATCGCCATCCAACTAATCGCCACCATCATTTAGTTTAATTTCATAATATTTATATATGATAATATAATAAAATCAAATGAAATGAAATTTAGACCAAAAAGGAATCTTAATTCATTTGAACATAATGATAAAAATCTAATCTTACTTACCTAGCATATATGTACCTTCTAACATTGATCATTCGCGACCACTGGCAAAGTTCATTGAAATCTCCGTTGAAAATTAAGAAAGACATGAAACTTCGTAGTTGAACAACTACAAGTGAAGATGAAGTCATCGAAATCTTCGCCGAAATTAAGAGAGACATGAAACTTCGTAGTTGAACAACTATAAGTGATAGTGTATCGTCGGCACCACCACACTCCTTGGGGTCGTCGCTTTTTCTACCCTTTGATTTATGGTTTGACATCAATTGAAATTTTATTGATGTTTGGTGGATTTTGGTATTAATATAGGTTTTATGTTGATGGGACAACTTGTTTAACTGGAGGGGCAGTTATGTGATTTCACTTTCTTAGATTGTGTTGACCATAAGTGGTCCTGGTCAAGGGGACGTAAATGCTAATTTTTCAAATGTGAGAGGACGTAAAAGAAATAAGAGACGACAAAGGTATTGGGTGATATTTTCTATGATGGGGAGAGGCCCAAGTCAACTCAATCATGGGACACTATCAATGCCTTCTCCATTAAAATTCGATTCTTTCTTCCATAAAAGACTCTGAAAGATACTAAACCACAAGTGCACGTACGTACTGATGCTCCTTGTTCTTCTCTTCTTCACATTCTTTCTCAACATTCTTAGTAGCAGTCTGTTGAGGCTTGAGCAGTATACTGGTTTCATTTGTTGACCTTCATCAGGTACCTTATTTTCATCACAAATCATTAGTTAATTATAACGATAGAACTGTAGTGCCTGAGCTAACTTATGCGCTTTGATGATTGGTAGAGTGATTGCTTTTCTGCTTTTGTTGGCTAGTTTATTGGTTGGAATGTTTTTACTGTTATAACAACCCCAGAAATCTCTAAACTTAAGGAATTTTACGGCTTGTTTATTTTAATGAGGGTTTCTTGAATTTTTTCAGTTCTTGAAGTGTATGGAACGCAAGCTTCATGCTGGTATGAGTAATTAATGATTAATGTTTTAACAAATAGAATAACTGAAATCCTATTGTCAATGGATAAGAAAGAAACAAGTGCTATTAGTTTGAGGGCTTGGGTGGACAAGGAGAAGAACAAAATTGTTTTTGTTGAATCAGATGAGGACTTTATTGATGTTCTCTTCAGTTTCTTGACAATGCCAATGGGTACAATCATCAGGCTCATCCGTAAGCAGCCACCTAGCGTGGGGTTAGGTTGCCTTAAAAATTTGTATGGAAGTGTTGAGAATCTTGGTGTGCAGCAATTTCAAACTGCAGTATGCAAGAACATGTTGCTGTACCCCAGAAATGGATCTGCAGCTCAATGCGAGAAACTGAAATTGAAGATTGATGATGGTCAAACCCTGAAGTACTTTCTTTGCTGTAACAAATTATGCACCCTTTCTGGCTACAAGTTATTGAGTCCTTACAGCGATGCCATTTGTGATTGCCAAGAGCACATAAATCGCGAGGTTCATCTGTTGGAGACTGAAGTAGCTGAGCTATTGCCATCATGTACCCTATACGATTACGATTATAATGGGGTGTTTGTCAGAGAGCAAACGAGATTTATAATAAGTGATGAATTGCAAGTATTGCCCTCGTGTACTGAATCTCGCCTTTCTTTACTTTCCAAGCTAGTTGGCTCAGACTGGAGCACCATTGAGGAACGTAATTTCGACATAGGTGTAGATGAGGTAACTATTGTTCACGCCATTTTATCAGATTCAGTACTGATTCCCCCTAGAATTGTATTACTTTTTAACTTATCCATCTATTTCTACATAATATAGGAGCTTGTTCATCCTCAAGATGATCACTTTGCTGGAAATAATTCACCTAAAATCCTGTTTATTCTTTTAGAAGTAAATAAAAATGTTATGCAAAAAAGCAAGACATTATCAGAAGTTAACTAATAGCAGAGTATAGAGCAGAAAAAGAATAAAAAAAAAAAAAAAAAAAAAGAGATATCAATTCGTTTATCATAGTTTTGTGATCTAATGGATTGTTTCAGGTTTTGACTTTGCTCAAGTTCGCTCTATCAGAGACACCTTTGACAGAAACTCTGTTGAAGAATAGTCTAGCAAATGAATTGGGCAAAGAAGATTTTCATCAGGGCGGCTATGTCAAATCTAGAATGGAAGAACCAGCATCAAATGTGAATAAGAAAATTCATGTCAAGCTTATAACTAGCAAATCCTGGAAGATGGTTTGCTATGCAGAAGCAGGGGAAGATTTTGTTGATTTATTATTCAGTTTCCTCACTGTTCCACTTGGGCATGTGGTAAAGGAAATGCACAGCAGCATTTCCAAAGGATGTATAAATCACCTATACAATAGTGTTCACGAACTAGATGCTGAGAAATACCTAAAATCAAATGAGCACAAGGCAATGCTAGTCAATCCAAAACTTGCCCCTGGGTTTAGCTATGAGAACAATCCACTTGGCATTGAGGAAGATATACACCCGCCATATTACTACGCGCAGAAGAAAAATGAATTTGGAGATTGGCATGATATATTGTCTTATGATAAAGCTCGTCTTTCTTCTTGGATACAATGTTATTCACAAGGGAGTACAATTTCAACATTAACTGTCAAGGAAACTACAAGAAGAGGATTTGCAAAGGGACCGGCAATGTTCACCATAACAGACAAGTTGATCATAACACCTATATCCTCAATCTCATGTCTGTCTCTTCTGAGCAAATTGGATAAACCTGTTGCTGACATTGAGGAGCGTGTTGTGCATGTGGGCTGTGAGGAGGTAAGTTAATGTATCAAATTCTGCAATAAAACTCTCACAAAGCATCCCATTGTCTACAAATATTGATTCTTTTCTACACAATTTAGGACTTTTTATAAGAAAAAAGATTTTTTTTTTTCCACATAATCACAGATATTCTACATCGAAGATACACCTATTAGGCGGAAAAAAATCATCTGCTGGGTAGCAACTACTGTATTTTAATGTTTCTGCCTCACATTGGCCAGAGCATTAGCAGTCTTATTAGCATCAAAGTGTGACAACAAGATCAGCTAATTCGTTCAATTTTAAAACTGCCGAGGTTTTCATTTCCTGATATTTTGAATCAATTACTACAGTGTAATTCTTATTGAATTGCAAGATAATGACATATCAAGACACCATGACAGTAGATTGCAGATATACAGAATGTGTACGGTGTACCAGCATCGTTTTCCTTGATTTTCAAATTTCTTTGAATTCAAAACTCTGTTCAAATTTCTCTTTCTCCTAGATCTCAATTTAGGGATCTTTTACTGCACCAAGTTCTTAGTGATAGTGAGTGAGTGTAGAAGTAAAACAAAACGAGGTTCCATAGGAAAAAGCTACGGCTGTAGCAGTGGCCGCTACATACCAGGCTTACCAAAGCACCACCTGTAGCTGCTATATTCATTTCATCCATCATTCTGCCAAATGCCATCCCACTACCCTCATTGAGCAATGCATATTATGGCTGCCACGAATTTTGCTATTGTGGCGGCACCACCTCTTACTTATTAGGCTGCACAGGTGGAGAGCCTCGATTGAGAATTTTTTATGCCATGAGAACCCAGATCAGATTATCTGAATAATTTATTTACCATCCCGCTGATACTCTGTAAACTTTTCTTTCGTTGCAGGCCTTGCGTCTTATGGTGGCTTCTTTTGTGTCTGAATCAGTTCTAACTGATGCCTTTCTTAGAGATCCAAATCCAGAACATTGAGGACATCTTGGTTCACCTACTATGAAAGAATATGTTATCTTATTAGGTGTTTCAGAATGGGATTTTGTAATTGAAACCCTGGTATTGTTCTTTCAGTGGGATTGCATTATCATATATATACATGTACATAAATTAAAGCATTGTATTAGGGTTTGCTTATTAGTTTTTCTGATATTTAACAAGTAATACCATTAGAAGCAAAACACATGAACTAGGCCATTCATATAGTATCAGAGTGATTACAATTGCTATTCAATAACACTACGGACACCGAAATATCAGCACCGAATTTCTGTACCGGCTTACGTGTAACGCCTCTCCATTTTTTTATAATTTTTTTCTAGTGAATGGCTGTCCATCAAATTTGGACGGCCGTTCACTCACATGGACGTCTGACCATATTATATGGACGCCCATCCCTATTAAAATAAAATTAAAAAATTTGTAAAACCTTATGGACGGCCGTCCATCCATTATGGACGACTGTCCATTAATTTTGGATGGCCGTCCACAAATAATGGACGCCCGTCCTTCACCCAAATATGAAAAAAAAAAAATCTTTAGGGATGATTGTGGATGGGTGTCCCTTAATTTTGGACAGGCGTCCGTAATTTTTGGACGTCCGTCCATGCATTTGGCTTTTATCTGTTCTTTATCATCTTCGCACTTCGTAAGCTTTATCTTCTCAGTCTTTTCGGTCTCTTCAGGTAACCAAATTTGTTTATCAACATAAAACTCTTCTATGAAACCATAGTAGAAGAAATATACCGTAGGATAATTCCCAATCTTGTACTTCTTTGCCAACAGTTTTTCTTTTTCAGCATCCACTTTGGCAACCACCAGATTGCCCTTACGTTTCATGGCTGCTGCTGAAGATTTTGGTGACAGTCTATTTCTCCAGAAGTACTGTGACAAGTAAAAAACCACCATTACCTACTGATTCTGAGTGATGAAGTTGCTGAAATTCTTCTCAGTCAATACCACTATTTTTTCTTCACTCACAAGCACCGGACGTGGCGATTGAATCTTGCGATTGAAGATTTGAGTTAAGCCCATAGCAGGATATACATCTTCATTGTTTCGTTTCGATGAGTAGAAGACGAGATTGAGATTCGGCAGAAGAATTATATTGGGTTGTTTGGGGGATACCATGTATTTGCTTGCCATGTCAATCTACTGAATTTGTTAAACTGTCTGCAGGTGGATATCAGCAACACTAATTGACTTCTATATCAATGTTGTGGCTTTGTCGGTATGTTTAAAGTAGTTAATATTTACAGTTCTGCTCAAAAGTTAAATCTGGGTTAGCTTCTTATATGGGAATCAGAGTGACTAATCAATACTAATGAAGAACTGTTAATTGGTTGATAACTTGCGTGTGGATTGATACATTTATTTAGTTTTTTACAGTGGAAATTTTTATCAAATTTACACCTCTCTCACAATACATGGTATCACCCAAACAACCCAATATAATTCTTCTGCCAAATCTCGATCTCGTCTCCTACTCATCGAAACGAAACAATGAAGATGTATATCCTGTTATGGGCTTAACTCAAATCTTCAGTCGCAAGATTCAATCGCCACGTCCGGTGCTTGTGAGTGAAGAAAAAATGGTGGTATTGACTGAGAAGAATTTCAGCAACTTCATCATTCAGAATCAGCAGGTAATGGTGGTTTTTTACTCGTCACAGTACTTCTGGAGAAATAGACTGTCACCAAAATCTTCAGCAACGGCCATGAAACGTAAGGGCAATCTGGTGGTTGCCAAAGTGGATGCTGAAAAAGAAAAACGGTTGGCAAAGAAGTACAAGATTGGGAATCATCCTACGGTATATTTCTTCTACTACGGTTTCATAGAAGAGTTTTATGTTGATCAATAAATTTGGTTACCTGAAGAGACCGGAAAGACTGAGAAGATAAAGCTTACAAAGTGCGAAGATGATGAAGAACAGACAAAAGCCAAATGCATGGACGGGCGTCCAAAAATTACGGACGCCCGTCCAAAATTAAGGGACGACCGTCCACAATTGGTGGACGGGCGTCCCCAAAGAATTTTTTTTTTTTTTTTCATATTTTGGTGAAGGACGGGCGTCCATTATTTGTGGACGTCCGCCCAAAATTAATGGGCGACCGTCCATAATGGATGGATGGCCGTCCCTAAGGTTTTACAAATTTTTTATTTTTATTTTAATAAGGACGAGCGTCCATATTATATGACGCCCGTCCCTCGAATATGGACGCCCGTCCATATAATATGGACGGGCGTCCATGTAAGTGAACGGCCGTCCAAATTTGATGGACGACCGTTCACTAGAAAAAAATTGTAAAAAAATGGAAAGACGTGTTATACGTAGGCCGGTACAGAAATTCGGTGCTAATATTTCGTTATCCGTAGTGTTATTGATTGCTATTTGAACTAACTTGAAATCTGACGGTGTGGCATAAGGTCCATAGGGTGAGACTCTGATAGTGCTGTGACATGATCTCATGAGAATACAAGGTTCATAACGATGATTCTATAAATAAAGTAGACACAATTCTAATAATAAAGATCATTTATTTGAAGTTCAAAAGTAAATCCATGCGAATAATGTGGACTTTCCAAGGTGTGACATAAGGTTTATGGGGTGGATTTTCGATAATGTGATATGCCACAACCTCATGAGAACTCGAGTTCTATAAGATAAGTTTTCTAATATAGACGCATTTTGGGTAAATGACACTTGGGTATAATCTCAAATAAAATTATGTTAATTATTTTTTTTCTTATGACTACGGACTCTAAGTCAATTTATACGTACCTCAACTAATTATTCAAAACCCGAAACTATCAACCGATAAGAGTTCTAGTTGACAATAAGGGTGTGAAAATCTGGTTTATCGGACCAGAGTACTAATATTTTGAACCGAACCGATTTTTCGGCTCAAGAGATAATTCAAACTGAAATCGGACCGAATTATCTCTTAAACTAATTATTAACCGAACCGATAATTCAGTTTGGTTACCCGTTAACTAGTTTATGAATCGGTTTTATAAAACAATCCCCATTCTCCCACTATTTTGAGGGAGGGTTCATGATGTCAAACTACCGTCACCAACTTTCTCGCAACGTCAAACCACCCAGACTCCACCTTCCACCTCCATCAACTCATATATAATCATGATATCTGAACTTTATTGGATAGAGTGACCTTTCTAGAGAGAGAAAAATAAGAAGATTGGTGAATAAAAAAGCTTGCAAAACATAGAAAGTTGAAGAGATAAATCAAAGAATTTAACCGTATCAAACGAATGCTATTGGGTGTGGAGGCTGCTGTCGATTGACATGGGAGAGAAGACTTGGAAAAAGAATAAAGTCGATTATGATTGGGAAAAAAATTCAGTCGAGCAACTACGACTGGGGTGGAAAGTTGATTTAGGAAAAAAATGGGTGTTTGTAGTTGTAGGTAGAGCTGGGCATTTGGGATCGGGCCCAAAAGCCCAGCTCCAAAATCCGGTCCTAGGACCGGTCCTTGAGAGGACCGGACCTAGGAGGCCTGGTCCCAAAACGGGACCAAGCCTAAGGAGGAGGGCCCTCCTCCAAGGCCCGGGCCTAAAAAGTTTTTTATTTTTTCAATATAGTCCCTTATCAAATTACATAAAACCCCCTGTTAATTTTAAAATAAATATAAATTACGAGGGCTAAAATAAAATTTTATAAAATTTATTTAAAAAAATCTTCCAAGTCTAAAAAATTTATAAATTTTACCCCTAAAAAAATATTAAAAACCCCCTATAAAATTTTGTTTTATCCTCAAAATATAAAAAAAATTTGAGGAAGGAAAATAAAATTATTCAAGCCTTATAGGACCAGTTCTAAGACCGGTCTTGGATTTATAGGATCAGTCCTAATCAGACCTAGGGTCTGATTCAGGTCCTAATTTTTTTCATTGGCCTAGTATCAATCTCAGACCTATAAATGACTGGTCCATTTGGAACTTACCCAAAACGGGTCCGGCCCACCTCTAGTTGTAGGGAACGAAGAAGCAGTAAATATAAGTGGGTACCTAAAGATGGTGAGAGTTCCAAGGAATTAAATGCACAGCAGGTGGCGTGCAGCTTCTCTTTGTCAGTTTTTCTAATTTTTTTTTTTATTTCTGATTGTTTAACTCTCTCTAATTTTAAAATAATAGGAAAACCAGTTTTCAATTGACAGCTCAAAATCACATTTGAATAGTTAACTGAATTGATTTTTCAGTTTTCTTTATTTTAAAAATCGAAACCGAATCGATCGTTTTGAAATACCAATTTTTTTTGGATTGATTTTGATCCAGTTTTTCGATTCGGTTTGACTTACTTTTTGCAACCCTAATAGACAATAACTATCCCTATTAATAATTTTGGAGACTTGAATTTAGGACATCACCATAGATTCACTTTTGCTCAAACTTATGTAAGTTTTAAAAGTTATTTGAAACCCAAAAATAATTTTGTCAAGCTCAAAAACAAATCCATACGAATTAGACGCAAATTCATTCATTATTCCAAATATAAAAAGTCAGGAAAAATACTGGACTGTTGATGTCTTCTCCATTAAAAATTTTCCTTTTCCCAAAGACTGTAAAGATGACAGGTCTACACAGTGATGCACCTTTTACTCTACTTTTTTTAAAACTGCTTTTCTACTGGTTTTTCTCTTCGCTCTCCGGCCTTTTCCTTAAGTACTTCATTACACTTCTGAAGCAACACTAGCTAGCTAACTAGCTGCATTTGGCGATCATCAGGTACCATACATAACTTCATCATAAATCATCACTTCTTATATAATGTTGGGTTCTTGAGGTAGCCGATATATGAGTTTTGGTCTGTAGAGACTCTTCTATTAGTTGTTTAATCTTCTTCAATTATTTATGCTTGGAATGATTTAACTGCTATTTCAACCCCATAAGCTATAAACATTGAAGATTGAGTGATTTCAATGGTTTAGTTCCGGACTTCCAGTTATAATAGTAATTAACACTTCTTTTCTCAGAATATTTACCACCTTGCTCTCTTAAGTAGTGTGAGCAGTTTCTTTTCTGTTTTGGGATTGATTTTACAATGCATAAATATATCCTGAGGACAACAGCTTAATTTGGATCAAAGTCTTTAATTAGTTATCATTTTACTTAATGAAAATGGTATATCTGGATAATTAAGTTCCGGTATGGGTATTTTCTCTGTTACAAGAGATTAAAAGTCAAGTACTGGACGGTTCATTTCTTCTCCCTTAAAAGTCTTGACTTAAAAAGGAGT